GGGCCACCTTTTGAGGGTCAAGAAAATCCTAAAAGCAAGGCATTACATTGAATACAGGACCTTATAACCTCCTTCAAGGAAACTTCTCACTCTTCCCCTTTCTGATACTTTTGCGAGCTCAGCACACTCATCTGCTGATGCCTTTTGATCCTGCCCTGGAGTCCTCCGCTCCACATTTCTGCCATACCATGTTCCTGCTGGGCAAACCAGAACCTCCTTTAAGAATGTGATTTCAGCAGGTCTTCTGGCCCCCACGTTGTCAGACTGCATATGTAACCTGACAGTTGGGAAATTTAAAAATTCCTCTTTGAGAAGGGAGGGTAAACTTAAACAAGGTAGTCAGAGGTGGAGGGAATAAAAATCACCATACAGTGTACTGACAGGACTTTCTGTGCATGCTACTAAAGTGCTAACCTTGCACATTTTTTTCAGCCTCCTACTCTTTGGCTCACTACCCAATGGGGAGGTTAAGGCTGGGTTATTACTGGAAGCAATTGCATAACCATGCCACATGTTTTCTACTTCACTTAACTAGAAGTGACTAGCTCTAGGCCCTACTGGTTCCCCTTGCTGTTCTCCCTGTCAAGGCAAGGTGTGTCCACATTTACCCAATAACCCAAGGCCTGTGCCATGGTAAAGCTCATCTGGAAAGTCCTGTGTATTGAGTGTGGGATGCACAGCTGTCTCTCTCTTCAGAGCCCTTGGCTGCTTAGGCAAGGTCTTGTCCTGTTCCCTTCCAACCACTTGTGTCCAGTGCAGGGTACCCCAAAACAGGTGGGAAGTGCAGTGGTGTAATGCCACCAGGGCAGGCTCTGTATCAGGACAGTCTTCAGAGGGGTCCTGATAAATGGTATGTTCTCCAGCTGTGTTGCAGTGTCATGGCTCATATGCCTTTCCCTGACCTGAAAGGTCAAACATGACCAGCTCTGCCCTGCCTAACAAGGTGCAGCAGAACAAAGCAGAGGTGCAGGGGAAAGGATTAAACATGAAAATATCTCACTTCCTTGCCTCATGCTCCATTAGGACTTTCTTGTCTGGCTTTCCTGTAGCATCCTCCATCTCAAACTGAACAAACACAGCAGCTGAATCCCAACTCCTCTCTACATTGGGGAAGGACCCATGTCTTGAGTACCAAATGACATCTGGCTTAGCTGTAGCACAGAGAGAGCCCGATGGACTTGCCCTGTGTTACCCAGCAAGTCATTAACTCAGCTAAGCATAAACTTCAGCTCCTTCAGCTCAGACTGCAGGCTCTGCTCTGAGGCCCCTGCAGGGGGGGACAGCACCCACCTCCAGCACTGCTGAGGAGCGACACCCCTTGCACACCTCTGCAACAAGTGGGTATTATACCAGACAAGTACAGTGTGGTCTGTGCCACTGCTTTCTGGTCCCTTCTTCTAGCAAAGCCATTCAGAGTGGGTTTCACTTTTTTATAGCTGATTTATTCACTGATTTAGAGTTTCACTTTTTTATAGCTATAAGTGAACATCGAATCCAAACAGGAAAGATCTTTGAAATGCCTACAAAATCGAAGTACCTTTTTTTTCTGTGATGGCACTCTTGCTCATGGCATTGTGCTATGAAGTTTGGATGGGCTCTAGGGATGGATATCTCATGACACCTGTGGATACCTACTCTGTTATTATATAATCCTTGGGGGAAGCACTTTTTTCCTTCCATTTGCTCAGCATTTCTCAGTATGCAGCTTGGCTGATTGCCTCTGCTCCTACCACTGTGCATCTCTGAGGAAAGTCTGGCTCCAGTGCCATTCAACCTGATTTGAACATCAACCTCAGGGCCAGAAGGACCTTTATGAGATGCCTATACTACATTTGAGGAGAAAGGGAATCATGTAACAGCTAAAACTAAACATAAACTTTATGTGCATTTAGTATGTCTTTTTATATGGTAAAGCTTTATCTGAAAAGCAGAGTCATATGACTCAAAAAGAGCACAGATAATTGTCCCAAGTGCTGTTCTCAGAGACATTTGTAAATGCTTTGGCTTTTTCTCTCCCCTTCCTTGGCAATAGTATGAGTACTACAAAAGTAAAAATGAAAATAGCTTGTCATTCATTACTACATCGGGGAGTATCTTCATTTCTCTATAATATCCAAAAAATATCTGCGAACATGCAAACAATTTCTTGTTTATGTATTTTAAAATTATTAGATACCTTTCACTAATTGCCTTTAATGGATTTAATAGTGGGATTTCAACAACTGATCCTACTCTGTGTGTGCTGTGCACTGTAAGTATCAGACAGATCTCTCATGCCCAAAGGTTAACAACTTCAGTTATAGCCTTTTTTGCAACATACAGTCTAGGTTTCTTTTGAGAAAAGACCAAGTTTATGGAGTTTGTTGTAATATAACTGAGAAAGGCAGATAAACCCTACTTTGTGTAGGGCTTACCCTACAAATGGGCTACCTTACATCCCGTAAAATGTGGTCACTGGACTATTTAAAAATGCAGCCACTGATCTGCCTTGCAATTTAATCTACAAAGTGCACTAAAATGAGAGTAATTCATTGATGTCCTTGCCATGCCTGAATTTACTCATCTGTTCATATGGCACCACAGAAATATGGGTTATATCTGGCAGCCCAGCTGTCCGCGTCTGGGAAACAGTTCATCTGCCACCAGGCCCTTCTCTCAGGTTAAGATATTCAACAAGCAACTAAAGTGGATCATCTTTATTAGTTCTGGCATTTTCAGTTTCATTTGAAGTTTAGCTGATGAAACCTTTTTATGACATTTCATTTCACTGCATATCTTCCTTTTTCTGCTTGTTGCAATTTGTATAGTGTTCCTATTTCCTGAGGTTTATTGATAAAGGACCTTCTCTTCACTATGGTCTGTGAAATATTTTGTTTCCCACACAATAATAAACCCTTTCTTATGTCTGTGGGTCTTGCTCTTACTTCTGTTGATTTATACAATTACTTCTTCTTGTAATACTTTTTTGTCATTTGAAATAAATTGCTTTGGATTTCTATGCTTTAAATACACAGGCTGGGGAAACCAATATCACCATACAAAGAGGATATAGGTACTAGGGAGAGACATTCCTATTCTACTAGAGCTGCCGGTTTCCAACAGAGGTTCTTAGGTGAAAGGGCATGGACCTCCTTAGGCACAACACCAGTGTGTTCAAGAATCATTTCCTCAGCTTTTTAACACATGCCTGTTCTTCAAAGCCAAAGGCTGAAGTTCAGTTTATTGCTTTGCTTTGGCTTTGAGGGTTCAGTATTGTGCTACAGTCCTTGAGGAGACAGAACAGGAACATACTAAAGACGCAGGTGTCTTTCTTGGGATTATCTACCTTTGGTGACAGTGGTTCCAAAATTGCCTAAGACTTCTGTGGCGGACAAGGATTCCCACATATAATACTGTTGTGATAGTACTGAGAGTATTTACACCCACACACAGACACCTTTTTTTCCTGCAATTGCAGTCACCAGTGAGCCACTCTGTTATTGGACAATTGGCAGTCATCCACGAAGCCAAAGAATAGAAACTGGAAAGAAGTCAGAGAAAGCTATGCCAGAATTGAGTTAAGGTGATTAAAATGACACAGCTTAATATCTTACATTATTTTCAAGGGAAAATGTGCTTTATGTAGTGGTCATAAACTTGGGAGTTTATGGGTCTGGGTTTTAAACTTGGGAGTAGGACACACCAAATTTGTCTGTCATCTTTGCCAGGCAATGCACTGAAGACTGTACAGTTTAGAGGAAACTTTGCAGAATAAAGTGTTCTGTGACTGTAATTTATCAAAATTCATCATGATCTGTACTGACTTATTAATTACCTTTTGCACCAGTCAGTCCAACTCAAAATAATACATTTTTAAGTGCTGATGAAAAGGAACTGTAAATTAAATATTGTGGAAATTTGAATGCTTCAGAAAATAAAAAACAGTTGTAATGGCACACTCAGGAAAAGCAGAAGCGCTTCTGTGGCATCTGTTTCTTATTGACCTGGTGTCTTGCTCCATTTCAATATGATAACATCTGTAGAAGAAATCCAGTGTGTCAGGACATGTAACTTACTGGAATATCACTGTAAACTCTATGAGAATTATCTAGAATTAAACTAATTTTCCCAAGTGTTCTTTGGAACAAAATGAAATTTCAGAATAGTGTTATAGTTTTTTAATTCAGCATTAGAAATATATGTTTCAAAAACCTCCTATGAAACAGTCAAAAGATGTGCTATCTTTAAAAGTGAGAGTAAACATACGTAATAATTTATTTTAAATCAGGAAGAACCAAAATTAATTACTATCACTTAGTATAGAAATCCACTCTACATGAAAGGATATAAGAAACTTGGTTTAGGGATTTTGGTTAGATTTACTGTGATATGTCATAATTTAAATTCCTTGTGATCAATAATTAGGTACAATGATTCACTTGAGTTTTGTATCAGCTTAATCTGGGGACCAGTCACTGAAGATGTTAGACACGTACAGATTTTCTCTTGACCTGCCATGTGCACAGTGACCTCAGACACATATGAAGTATTGTCATAAGGGGAAACATCTTTCCTGTGGTTAAAATTACGACTGACAGGTCATTGAAACCACCACTGTACAGCAAAGATGTTGAGTGCCTTTTTCAGCAGTGATATATATAGAGCCTTGTTGGAAGAAGGAGTCGGTCTTGCAAACCCACAATCTCCCCTTCAGGACTGAGAAAAAACACCCAAAAGCTTTCAAGCTAAGGACAAGTTCAGACCACTTTTTCTGAGCTTTGTGAGAGAGGAGTCAGCTGAAGCACCAACTGCCTGAACTAATAGGGTCGTTAGTGCTTGTGGAGCAAAGTGGGGATTGGGGTGTCAGAGAGCTGGTAAGTGGTTCTCGGGGAACTGAGAAGGTAGTATTTTATACCTTGTGAATGGTAAATTCATGGAGGAAGATGATAGCAAATATCACTTTGAATCACAGGGTTTGATGGTTCTGTAGATCTATGAGTTTTGAATTATTATATACTCACCGTTAAATTGTACTTTGCATATGTCCATTCAGATTGGTTTTTGGTTTCAGTTTTCAGCAGTCTAAATGACAACAGAGAACTTGGCATGAGTCATGTTTTCCAGAAAATGCCCAGGACACTATTTCTTTGGAAACTACTATTTTGCACAAGTTATTTACTAAAGTAAAAGATGGGCGAGGACAAATTTTAGGGGCACTTCTGGAGAAAGATTTGTATGGGTTTTATTACTTGGCAGTTACACAATCCCTTCTTTTTATCAGTATTTCCATCTCTAACTGATAGTCTGCTAAATCTTCTGGTTTGAGTATGCATTCATTCCTTCTCCATATGACATATATTTATAACACTTCCCACCAGCAGACACTGGCTGCCTCCTGACTGTTTTCCTAACTTTTGCAGTTTACAAAAGGTGATAAATTCAATTCTACAAGAGTCTGTGCCTGATTTTTGAACACCATTCCTAAATTTCCTTTTATCTACAGACATTTCTCCTGGTCCTTTGCAGTGCTCTTCCCGGCTTTTTTTCTGGCTACTACATCAGAGTCAAGACATGCTGTTATAGCTAACATTTAGTCTTAACATTCACTTTTTTTCAAAGCTTGATCTTAAGACAAAGAGCAAATAGGGCTGCCTGTGCTGTTGCAGTCTAATAAGCTCTCTTGTGCAGAACAGAGAACCTCTGCTATTAACGTGGTTTCGCAAAGACACATTCAAGGTGGTTTGTGCTGCAGCATTTTCTCTGCCAGGTTAGTTGTACACAATAGAAATCTTCACAGAGATCATGAATCTCCATAAAGAGCGTTACTGAATCCTTTCACTGCACAGCACTGGAAAGCATGCAGATACCACTGTGGCTGCAATTTTAACAGTTTTGCATGGACTGTTGTAAACACCCCACCTAGTTAGGCTGGTCAGGAAGTGCTCATAGTTTGGACTGAATATTTCTGTTTAATGATCTGCTGGAATTTAGCTTTTTTTCTCACTAGATTCAGCTTCTAGATAAGCTCCTACAACCAGAGGTTTGCAGAAAATCAAGTCAAGTGAGCAGAACTGTTTCTGAGTGACCTCTGTTACAACCGTGACTCGGAGCAGCACAGATCTGAACTGGCAATGGGAAGGAGGAGCCTCCTGGAACATTTGCGCTCCAGGTGACACTGAATAATGGAAGATGATCACCATTCTGGGGAGGCAAGGATGTCTCCCAGCATCATTGGGTAATATTTGTACATATCCACAGTGGAAACAGAATATATTTCCATATCTAGAGCAGTGCCCCACCACATTTTGGGTTATATTCCCGACAAATTAATTATCTAACCTATAGCAACCTTGTCAGCTAATTATGGCGGTATTCTGTTAACATGATATGGGCAGTGTTTCTGTCTGTGGGTTTACTTTTGTTCTCAAAATACCTATAAACCTGGCTTTTGGCTTAAAAGATCAGAGCACCCCACATCAGAGTGCTGTGCTTGGATGCTGCTCACAGGGAATATTACCCTATGTTCAACATAGTTTGTATCCCCAACACTGCAGATTTCTGATGGTCTAAGGAAAACAGGGTACAAATATTTCAAAGATTTATAATATAAGCATTATCCAAATAAATACCCTTCCCCCACTTGCAGAGTCTCTGGCCAAATACTGTGCCTCTGTTCCAGCTCCTCCTTACCGCCTCTCCCTGTTTCCGGATGGGCCCTGGCCCCAAGCCTTTATCTCCTCCAGCCCCTGGGCTGTTTGCAGAGAGCAGTTATAAAGAGGCTGACTGAGCAGAGAGTGGAGGAGAATTACAAGGTGCAGGAAAACAGCAGCACCGGACCAGACTGAGTGTCTGCTTCACTCACCACGACCTGCTCTGCACCATGGGGAAGAACAAGCTGCCCAGCAAACCAAACATCTTCCTCCTTCTTCTCTTCTTCCTTCCTGGAAATACCTCTTCCAGCGCAGAACCGTAAGCTGCACAGGCGGAGGGGGGAGGGAAGTCTTAGTGCTCCCCTTTTCCTTCAGTTTTCTTCCTCTATGTTTGCCAGTTCTTCCATTCCTGCCCTGAATCCCACTAATAACCTAATCCCACTAATAAACCAAGCCCTGTGTATCCTGCACAGCTCTGGCAGTGCTCCCTGCTCCCACCCTGTAACCCCCTGGTTGTCCAGCCCTGGACCCCTCCCCACTGCCATCTCTGCCAGTACCCCCTTCCAGCCCCTCCCCTATCCCCCCACCAATGTCTGTCAGTGCCCACAGTCCTGCCCTGCAGCTGCCTGATGGTCCAGACCTGGATCCTCACAACATCTTTGCCTAAGTACGTTAACACCTAAAAACCTCTCAGGGCCTGGGGTTTTGTGGGCATGACAACAGAATCCAGGCACTTACCCTTCCTAGAATATCCTTGTTTCAGTCACTGAGTTACTTCTCCACAATCTCCTGTTGCTTTCAAGCTGGTTTGTTCCCCTTTCTCCTGCCAGTTTGTTTCCCTTGGCAGCATCAGATGTACTTGTTCTCAAAGAGGATCTGTGACCTAGATTCACTTCCTCCGGCACAGAGTCTGGCGCCAGCACTGTCCATTGGACATCCATGCCAGTGCTTTGCAGACCATCAGCACACACTCTGCTGATGGCCCCAAGGAGAGGGGCAGCCTGGGGTGGCACCGGCTGACTGGAGTCTGGTATGCCCACCCCAGCCTCACCTGGCAAAGAGTGTTACTCTCAAGCCTCTAATCTGGGTGGGAGCAGTCTTGATCTTCAGACCCCAGCTGCTGTCACACACTGTTCCTCTTGCTGTGGTGACAGAAGTGCAGCTCTCTCACACACACAGGTCTTGTAATGTTTGCTGCAGAGATTTCATGCCCACGAGCACTGCCATGGTGCTAACAGGTATGGCAGAAGGGGCAGCATTACTGCTGCCACCCACTGTGTGGTCAGAGGTGAAGTGATGACTGGCTCAGCCTCTAAGACCTTTGACTCAGTGTACCATCAACCCCTCATTCATCTGCTCTGTTTGGCTGCTTCTGGGGTAGATCAGCCAGCCAAGTCTGCCTTGGGGTCAGGCAGAGGTCTCTGGTCTCTCTACAGAAATGTGATGTAACTAAGTAATTAAGTAATCTTAATTCATCCTTGCTCAACATCAGGGGAAAAGGGAATAAAACCATACTGTTCAGACTTTGGACAACATAGAATCATAGAACCTGGCCTGGGTTGGAAGGGACCTTAAAGATCATCTGGTCCCTGACATTGACAGGGACACCTTTTGCTAGACCAGGTTGCTCAGAGCTCCATTCAACCTGGCCTTCAACACTTCAGAGATGGAGCATCCACAGCTCCTCTAGGAACCGTGTATCAGTGCCTCACCACCCTCACAGTAAAGAATTTTTTTCCTAATATTTAATCTAAACCTATTGTCTTTCAGTTTTAAGCCATTGTCCTGTCACCATGTGCCTTTGTAAATAGTCTCTCTCCACCTTTCTTGTAGGTTGCTCTTTGTCCTGAATCTGAGCCCCAATTTGGGAGGGAAAAAGGAGGAAAGGCTGAGAGAGGTGGGAGAGACAGGGGTGTTATTGTGTTCCCCAGAAGGAAGATAGGAGCCCAGCAGGGATGCAGTGGAATCTGAGCTATGAATTGCTAGTTAGTATAAGTGGTTTTAAGTGCTGCAGGGTAGATCAGGTGCTGTGTATAACACAGAAGGGAAGCCACCCTTGAACTGAAGTCAAAAAATAACCTTCCAGCTACGACTTGCTTACTGTGCCCTGTGCAAGTAGGGATATCACTTCTTTGGGCAGCAGCAGCTGCTATTTCAGATGTGGCCAGCTGCACAGGAGACACAATTAAGGTTCAGACTACATATTAAAAAAACCTCATTCTCAAAGTTAGTGCAGCACTGGAACAGAGATGGTAGAAACTCCATCTACGGAGTCCTTCACAACAGTGCTGTTCCAGGAGAGAATTTGGGCTTGAGACATCCGGAGGTCCTTTGCAAACAAAACTTTTGTGGTTCTGTAAGATACTGAGCAAGATATGTTTTCTTTGCTTCTTTTTCTTCCATTGCTTTTCTTTCTCTGTGTCGTTCTGGAAGAATGCAACAGAATGTTCTCCTGTTCTGTTATGTGGCTGTGCATGTAAGCTCTTTTACAGCGCAGTGTACATGCTTGGCAATACACTGCATATGGTCATAAATGTGAGGTCATAATGACACTTGAATTGGCAGGTTTGGATTTGGGCTGATGGAGATGATGAAATTCACTGCCTTCTTTGATTAGGTGCTTGTTCTAGTAAGTAGTTGAGATTCAATACACAGACAGACATTATTCCACCTTAAGCTACGGTATTACCTTCTCTGTGTAGAAAAACTCATCATTTTTGCCTCAGCCACTCTCCCTAGGGTCTCCTATTCCTCCTGTGATGCATGCTTCTGTCAGAGCCACTGCCTCTCTTGTCAGAACAGCTTGTTGCATGCAGGGAAGATGCTGAGGTCTCTTTAGGCAGCTTTTTTGTCTGGAATGTCTACACATGGATTTTGTGACCCAAGTTACTTAAAGCCTTCATAGTACTTTAATTCATCTAGCTCTTTTCACCAACACATCCCGAAACACCTAAAGAGAGGTCTATAAACAGCATATTTTATATCTTCATTTCAAAGGCAGGGAAGCCAGTCTAAGGGGAAGTTCTGCAAGTTGGCCAAATTTCAGAAGAACAATGAACAGGAAGAGAAATGAGGCCAAATTCCCCACGAACTAGGTCACACTGTCCCTTCGATAGACTGGACGTTATTGTCAGATTGCCAGTACCACTGACAGGAGACAGGGAAAATGAGATTAGGGGAAACAGGCATGGGACGAATTTGTGGTGAAAAGGCTGTGGAAGAAGGGAAACACTGGAGAACACAGAGAGTTGCAAGTAGTAAGTCACTCCTTGGGTGGCTGGAGTTCCCTCCTTTCACTGCTTCTGAAGCAGCACGGACTGAGCCGAGTTGCAGCCAGGATCTTCACCACACTTCATCCTATTGCCTTGTGGTGAAGGAAATTGAGGTACTGCCTGGGTTCCACTGCCTCCACAGTAGCTTTAGGACTTCCCAAAAAGCCCAGAGCCCAGGCAATAATGTAGCTCTGGATGGACCAAGCTGTATTTGTCCTCTACTCCCTTCTGAACACCTTCCTACACTCCATTTGTTACTTATTATGAATGAGAATTTTCCAATAGTGATCAACAGTGCTCAAGTCTGGGTGGTAATAGCCCACTTAGTGATATTATTTTTCATTTATGAACAGTTCATCTTGCCATTTATGCTACTCAGTCCTACCATATAACAAAACTTTTCCACAAATACATAAGTAAATTTTAGGTATTCTTACCCTGGACAATTATCAGAAAATTTTACTTCCCAGATCATTTAGAAGTGTACTGAAGAACAATGATCCCAACAAAAACCCCTGAGATTTTCATTGGTTCATTACCCTTTCTGTCCTATCTTTAACCAATTAATCCGGGTCAGAATTAATAATTCTCATTTATTAGTAAAATGATCTCTTTTACTGAATGACAGTTGAGTTTAAGGATCTTTTATGAGGGACCTTTGCCAAAAGCTCTTTGGAAGTGAGAGTACACTTGAGTTGAAATAAAACACTACACTCTGAAGCCCTTTGTGTGCTCATCTTAATAAGGTCCCAAACTGTGAGCACTCACATCTTTGCTCAGCATGTGAAAGATTTGGATCCTGGACAGGCAAAGACTGGAGCAGCCAGACAAGTGGGTGGTGTTTTTTTCAACTGTTTTTAGCTATTCCCTTTGAGTCTCAATAGGAGATTGTGGGATATACAAAATTCAATTAACAGCTTGGAACCTTTCAAACCGTCCTTGCTCCCTGCTGTGAAGCCAAACAAAACATCCTTTGTAAAGCACTCTCTATTAGCATAGAAATTGTTCCTTCTACTGCAAGCATTTTCCGGCTTTTAGGCTAATTAGTTAGGCCGTTTAATATGTATAAACCCAAAATAAAATGAACACTCATATTATATGCACTGCAGTTCACAGGGATAGTAATGGATTAGACATACTGATTTGTTAATTTCCTTTCACTTAATACTGTTGCATTAAAACTGTTTCACATTTCTGATCTTTCTTGCTTCCCTCTCATCCTAGGCAGTATATGGTGCTACTTCCCTTTCTGATACACACGGATTCTCATGAGAAAGTCTGTGTTCAGCTGACCCACCTGAATGAGTCTGTGACTCTGAGTGCCACACTCGAGCATCAAGGGGAGAACAGAAGCTTGATTGATGATGTGGTGTCAGAGAGGGACGTGTTCACCTGCATCCCTTTCTCTGTGAGTATCTCATCCTTGTGGGATGATCTCTTATGTTTATTGGCATGATGTAGTAGATCCAAACAGTCCAGAAATGAGAAGTAAGACACACTGCAATCAGTCTTCTAAGCTAAGACAAATGAAAAAATTAATTTGATGTGGATATCCAACTGTGGTTACCTTATGAGGAATAATTTTCCAACATTGTCAAATTCTGTGTCCCTCGTGATATTTCTATGCATGCGTGACTTAGAGAAGTCTTTTTGGAACTTTTTGGAACCGCATTTTTGTTTGATCTATATAAGACTCGGAGGAGAAGTATTGAGGTGGAATCAAAACTGGGGAATGGTTAAAGATAGTGAGGTTCATGAGGTCATTTGTCTCCTTCTGGAACTTATTCACAAATTTTTACTGCAGTGGTTGGTGACTAATGTAAACAACAGGTTTCACCACCTAATTAATGAATCTGGGTTAGTTTTGGTTTTGATAAATCACCGATACAATAGAATAAGATCAGATTCAATATTTCTCAAACAAAAGTGTATGAATGAAGGAAGGGAATCATACTTTTCTCTTGCTTCATGCACTGACTCTTTTTTGTCCCTTTAGGGAACTCTCTGACCCAGCTAATACTCTGTCCTTCAAAGGCTTAGGGCAATGGGGTGAATCTGTAAAGCAGTTTTCCTCTTCATTTTCCTTAGCTTCCAAAATCCAATAGCACATCAGTGGCATTTCTCACTGTGACGGTGAAGGGGGACACACTGCAGTTCAAGAGCCGCAAGTCAGTGCTGGTCAAGAATTCTGAGAGCTTGGTCTTCATCCAGACAGACAAACCCATCTACAAGCCTGGGCAAACAGGTACAGGGAATTGGGTTGGTGTTGACTATGACAGGATAACATCTTAAGGATTTAATTCCCCAGAGGCACTATACTTTAAAAGTTTTCAGATTTCTTCAAGGGGGCAGTTAATGCTCTCTGTAAATCTCGTTTCTGTCAGCTGAGATCTAGGGCATGTGGTACCTTCATCATTTCTGTTTTTCATACTCCAGGCACAGCATCTCAACCAGATATAGACACAAGCTCAGATTCATTCTACTCAACTAGTGGCACAAAACTGGGATGACTTCAAAGCATAGTCTCCCTTGGCTGCACCTGATTCAACAAAGCAGGACAGGCACTCCCAAGGGACAATTAAATTCAGCCAAGACCTGATTATCCTTCTAAATTTATCTGCCCCTCACCATCTGAAAAAGAAAGAACCTGAAGTACTTGCTTCTATTACTGAGAGATCTCAATTCAGAGCCTGTTGGTCCATGGAATGAATCTGAGCTATAAGTTATTGAAACACTGACATTTCCTGATAATGGCTAAAAATTTAACGGTGGAATTTCTTTCTTTTCCGTTACACCCTTCAGTTATGTTTCGGATCGTCTCTCTGGACAAAGACTTCTACCCGCTGAATGAGAAGGTAGAGTCTTAATTACTTGTTGTTAACCAGGAGGTTTAATTCCCAATTAAGACCATTATTGTCATCACCCAGAACCACTGAACACAGCCTTTAAAGCATATGATACTCTCACACCATCCTCCACCCATTTCATATTCTGTCCTGGGACACACTTCACCTATCTCTATTGTCTGAAAAACATGTCCCCTTTTTCAAAAGCATACAGGTGTTTAAAGCCAGATTTGCAAAAACCTGTATGTGGCTAAGCATCTAGGCAGGGATCTCATTACTGAAAATGTGGGTGGGACAAGTTTCCATTGGAAGTGACAGGTGTGCAGTTGTTTCTGGCAGTGGGTGCAACCACATGCTTAGGGACAGAGAGCTGAATGACAAGACCTTGGTTTCAAGGAACTGGTCGGAGGTATAAGTCCACCCTTTTAGCTTATTTGACAATCAGTTCCTCATGAAGACAAGTTCTTTGAAAACTCTTACTTCATCATGTTTTCATACTGTGGTAAGATAAATCAGGGCCCTAAAATATTATAGAATATATTCTCTTAACTGTCAAGAACCAAGGAAAAAGAGCAAGTACAAAAAGGGAAGAACCCAAAGGACTTCTTAGAAGGTTGTTCTTCAGTCCTTCAGTCCAAATCTGGAAATTACTTCCATCCACATGTAACTAATATGTCTAATACTGATTTTCCTTTGCTCTTCCCTCACAGTTTCCATTTGTCTATGTTCAGGTAAGTGGATAATCACGTTATTATTTCATAATAATGTGCAGGCACAGAGGTACTTGACTCCAGTAGTGTATTCAGGCTGAGGTGCAAGGGAAAACATAGGACTCATAAACTTTTTCCTTTGTGTAAAAGAAGGCTGAATAGCTGGAAATCAAAATAAGTTCCAACAATGGTTCTTTGATTGCAGAATGTACTGTAGGAATGAAATAGTTAATCAGTGCAAGCCATGCTGTAAACAGAATTATACTTGCCTAGAGGTTGTATCAGAATGGCTTATTCCTCTTTCCAATCAGAACTAAGATTTTCTATCTGCCAAGAGTGGTTGAAATTGGAGAACTGTGTTAAATAAGCTAAGGACCAAAGGCAAGAATGACAGAAGCGAAGAAAGGTAACAGCCTAAAAGTCAGCACTGCTAAAGAAATAAATGTCAATCAATCCACACCCTTAATGTCACTTAATTTATCTTAGTCAGCCACAGAGGCAGAAGTTAACATGAGCCTACTATTTCTTTAGAAAAAAAGCCTTTCTGGGGTAAAGCAGCCTGGCTTTCAGGCTCTCCCTATAAATACATCACAGCAACAAGTTCACAAGCACAGCTGTAAACATTTTCTTGAGTTCCTCTTCCAAGGAAGCCCAGTGGTATCATTCACATTAAGGTGTGAGCTTTTCATCAGGGTTGAAATATGATAATGAAGAGGGTTTGGTCAGAGCACTGACTGTTCTGTCCTCCCAGGGTGCTTCTTGGGAAGACAGCTCCCACTTCTGCCCCCTGACTCGAATTGGGAGATACCATTCACATCCTGGTTTTCCTTAAGCCCTGAGATAAAATCTCAGTGAAGTAAATGCACGTAGTCACATACCTCGAGTCACATACCTATCTAGAGTAAATAAACTTTTGGTGAAAGACAAGATACAATGCAAAGAGCAGGCAGAAAATGAAAGACTGTAAACATTAACTATACTACTGAGCAGCCTGGAAAGGGTGCATCAAAATACGTAACTCTACTGTACCGTTTCAGTGACTTCCACAAGAAATTTGGAGCTGAATGAATTAATTATTGATAGTTCGTAATGAGCATTACACAACTATACTAGTGGTGAGACTTCAGCTCCAGCATTAGGAGCAGGGAGACACAAGAAGAGTGAGCTCTCAGCTGGATGTCCATATGTGGGGTACAGTTTCCTCTGTTCATGTTCCCACTTCCCCACCCCACCTTCGGACTCTTGCATATGTACATTTCTCAGTCCCATAGATAAATCAGACATCTGATTCCTCATCAGATTGTGTAATGGTACTTCAACAGACTTCACTCCAGGCAGGGAAAAAAACAACCCTTTTTTGCAGGCTGTATAGCCAGTCAAGGAAGCTGAAACTTCCTTCAGGAAGGGAATTTCTAGAACTTCCCTTCTCTGTGTTTCACTTACTTCTGATATCAATCTCTTTGTCTTGCTGCCTTGCCAGTCTGTCTTTGCTAGCTTTCAGGCCCCATCACTCATAAGCATACAGGTACAGCTGAGGGGAAGACAGACAACACAGAACCTCTAGAGTTAAAAAGCTTTCTTGCGTGCTAGTTATGCAGAATTGACAGGTAAGTGCTTACAGATCCTCACACGTTATTGAATAATTACAGACAGGCATATCCCAGCAGGGACATATAAACTGGGCGCTGCACTCTGTCCCAGGAGTCTCCTGTCCTGTGATGTTTTTACCTTCACCTGTAGGATCCCCAGAGGAACCGTGTGTACCAGTGGCAAGGGGTGGAACTAGAGACAGGCCTTACACAGCTCTCCTTCCCCCTCACGTCAGACCCCATCCAGGGCTCCTACAAAATAGTTGTGCAGAAGAGCTTCTCATCCCATGTGGAACACTTCTTCAGTGTGGAGGAATACGGTAAGGAGAGGAGGTATGGGCTGCAAGTGGGGTTGACAGCAACGCCTTTTACTGTGACCTCTCAATTTGTAATTTCCTGGGAACAGCATGGAGAAAAGAGGGACTGAATATACAGGCAGTGGGATTCATAGGGGCTGAGCCAGAAGGTACTGAATGTCAGAAGTGGTTGCTTCCTTTATGGCATCTCTGCAACCTGCCTGAGCTAATAGTGCTCTTGGGAGTACCGGACTTCTGGCTTGTGGCAGCAGTTTCAGCTGACTTTGTTTTAGTTGCTTTCCAGTCCAACAGCTTGTTGCAAGTACCACTAGATGCAAAGTAAGAGATGACAATATTTTGGTGGCACTGTTTCACCTCTCTCATCATCTGCCTGAGTTCTGTTACTCCACTAGTAGTCCTGTCTCTTTTTCCTGTTCTTTGTTTCTACAAAAGCTTAGAAAACACGTCTGATAGAAAACTTGTGACTGAAGAACACTCCACAAAGGTTACAAGTGGACACAAACAGAGTAGTAGTAGAGACTGAGTAAGGAGAAATATGCTGCCACAGAGAGCCTTCTAACTCCAAGTTCCATAATAAAACTTCTCAGGTGTTTGTAGATGTGTATTCTAGGTAGGCTGGGTGCATTTGAGAAGGCTGATTGGCCAGTGCTCCTCGCTCTGAGACTCTCCACCAGCTCCACGTGGAGTGCTAACGACCCAGCACATTGACCAGAACCTGCTGTTTCTGGAATATGCAGGGTGCAACCCAAAAAAGATTGTCTTTGAAGTCCATAGGACTGACTTATTTGGTTCAAAGTCAGGCATGGTGAATAATTTGACCACAAACAAAGTTATAGGTTTCAACATGCCATAGTGACAGATGGTCTGTTCCTCCTGCAAAGATCATTCTGAACACCCCACAAGATCAAAGAAGTATGTCCCTTTTCTAGCCCCACACTAAGATAATTTTTCTTTTATTTTTCTTGAGTCATTTCTGTGAATCTCTTCTATTGCTATTTCTCTTACAGTCTTTTGAGGAAATGCGCTCTGGGGCTGAAACGTAGAGCCATGTCTCCCATCTTAGAGACAAATTTATGTCTAAGCTGTATAACCCAGGATTGTTTTCCGCTTCCTGGGTCTGGATGTGCACCCACCCTGCTGTTATTTCCTTGCACTGTGAAAAATACCTCAGGTGCACCACCTGGAAGCAGGCCACTACATGCTTCAGTCCAGTCCTGGGCATGAGTAGTTGGAGGCTTAGGGTTGAAGGATGCAATATGGGAAGATATCAGTCAATATCTGCTCAGATCACTTAATGAACCCATTGTGAATTCTACCTCCATTCAATGTGGTAAATTACAAAGCCGGTAAATGTGCTGCTCCAAGTCCTAGTTACAAATTATGAATTGTGAACACAGCATACAGGATTAACGTGTCCTTCTGAATGGACATATGTAAGGGATATACACAGCTGTTTGGTGCCAGTGGGATCACTTAAGCGTGTGCTGTAAATAAGAGAAGGTAAGGGCTACAAACTTCTTTAATTCTCTTTGAACCCAAACAATGGTGAAGGCTGAGAAAACCTAGGGAAGGGCTAGGAGATACTTGCTAAAGAACACAGAGAGATTCCTGTTAAGGTGATCCTGGATCTCTGTTTGGGTTACTGTATAGTACACAGCCATCATTCACTCATATCAAACTTTCTCTCTCTCATTTAGTGCTGCCCAAGTTCGAGGTCCTGGTGAAAATGCCCAAGATGATCACTATTAAGGACAACGAGCTTCCAGTGTCTGTCTGTGGTCTGTGAGTTACAGAGCTCCAGTAAATCTCTCTTGCTTATCCTTCACTCCTCCTTTCTGCCAAGGACCAAAAGAAGAGCTGGGGAAGGCTTTTTATACCTTTCCCAGGCATCCAGTGCAAGCTTATTCACTCTGTCAATCCTGAGCCTGTTACTTTGTCTAATCAGTCAAAGTGAAGGGTCTTCTCTGTGTTCCTTAAAAGATGATGTCAAACTGGTCTGCAGCTCTCACTTCCTAGTTCGTTGTATATTTTCTCTTTCTGTCTTTACATTTCTTCAGTTAGAGCTTCTCTGCCAATCCTGAACCCTCAAATACTCAGAGATATCAGATCAGACATCATTTACACTGGCGATGCAAACCCAGTGTTCTCATTTTTAACTCATAAATTGCTCCTTCTGAGCTCCTGGTTGCTTTTCCATTTCTTCACTGAATCCCCAGCAGTTTGTAATACAATAATACAAATTGTAAAATTTATATAAATTTTATATAAAATACAGCCAGTCCTGGCTGAAATAATTTTCTGAAGTCAATCTTTTTCTGCAAAGACCTCTCCCCTAGAACAGGATGGATGTTTCTTCCATGGGTAATGGAAGACTCTTACTACAGAAATGAAGGAAATATAATCACTAGAATCATTAAAATATCAGATTAGTCAGCCCTTAAGAAGTGTTAGGAAATCGTCCACAGAGGTCTCTAAGGAAATTCATTTGAGTGTGATTGTGACTGATTGTCTCTTCATCTGATACATTAACACATTATGATTATAGGTACACCTATGGGAAACCTGTTCCTGGTTTGGTGAACGTCCAAGTGTGCCGTAAATTTTCCCATTCTGCTTCAAGTTGTTATGGAAAAGAGGCAGAGTCTGTGTGTGAAGAATTCACTAGGCAGGTGAGTCCCAAGATTAAAATGTAGTGGTTTGTCTCATGGTTAATGGGCAATGTCGTCTTAAGAGAGGCCCAATCTGTGACTGTTGGGACAGACTAGGACATCAGAGGTAGCACTCTGTCCAGAGAAAAGCAGAGAATCTCAGAGGAAGTCAGGCTTAAGAGAGGGGTCATTAAACTGGAAACAGAACTGATGATGAAAACCCACAACTGGAATTCTGACCCCATTGAGACTAGTGACAAATCTCCAGTTATCAACCATGAGGTCCCTGCTATTGTTCCAAAAACCAAGAAAAGAATCTGTGAAAGAGTTTTGTGACTGTGAGAGAGAGTGTCAGAGAGCGAGGGGCAAAGATGAGGGCAACACAAGAAGGCAGTATAGAGAACAAGGAACAAAGAAGATGCAGTAGTACTGTACATGGGTCAAATACAGAAGAAAGGGCAAAAAGGAAAGGAGTGAAGACAGTGGAAGAAACAGGAAGAAAAACAGAACTAAGGCAGGAGAAAATTAACAGGGAAACCAGTGGGTACCTTGGAGAACTGCATGTCAGGTACCTCACAGAACAGAGAAAACTTACAGATGTAACACTAGGAAACAGGCTGAACACCAGTTCTCATCTTGGAGACAACCCTTGAACATAAGTCTGACATTTCATGGATAAAATTTAAGCATATTGTGTTTGGGGTCTCTATTCAGCTTTGTTCACAGAATTTCAATTTTTCTCTCCAATGCCTTGCTTAGGCAGATGCTCGTGGGTGTGTTTCTGGTCTAGTGAGGACCAAGGTATTTCAACTCCAACGTAGGGGATATGAGATGAGCATTGAGGTACAAGGAAAGATCACAGAAGATGGCACAGGTATGTATCACATGGATATGGCAAAGTGGTGGCAGGACCTAACAGGAGGGCCTGGCAAAGACAAGAAAGATGGACCAACATGACTAGAAATTCATTAATAACCTTTCTTTACTGTGCTCTGTCTCAGGAATAGAAATTACTGGAACAGGCTCCTGTGGTATCACACCCATTATGAGCAAAATCAGCTTTGACCTGCTGGACTCTCAGTACAGACCAGGAATCCCACTCTTTGGGAGGGTAAGGAAGTTCTGAGACCATGGACAGTGAATGGCACCGCAAACACACAAGTGTGTAATCCCATTAGATGGAGGAACAGTGTGTGCAGGTTACATGGCCCACCTTCCTCTGCCTTTGTACAGGCAGATGAACTACTGATAGTTGGGGCACTCTAAGAGGCACATGACCCTGACACTCCTGGCAGTCAGCCCAGTATAGACGAGAAGGCCCAAGACAGGGAGCAACAAACATGGACTATTCCACAAGGTAATGTTATCCAGGTGCAAAGGGTGACTACAACACAGGAATGCGTAGTGACCTCATCAACGAGAGCACAGTCCCAACTACTCAACCAAACTGAGCAGAGCAGGAGAGGTGACAATAACAGGTTCCACCAACAGTGTAGTGACCACCTGACAATGTGAGATGATAGGTCAGGGCTGAGCCCAACCAAGAAAGTCTGCTTAACCTGATGGGAACAGCAGAAGAAAGAGCTAAGTGTAAGTCTACTGGGACAAAGCACAAGCCAGAACACAGAGTTCCTGAACCAAGGGGTGGAGGTCCCAGATGAGACTGGCCAGGGAAATTAAAACTACTGATGAACTTAAGGTCCTGATAGATTATTTCCATGGACCAATGGGCTTGTTTTACTGAGAATTTTCTCAGTTGTTCCCTGAGACAACTCAGGACTCGCCTCACACATTTCCACATTCTTTTCTTTTGTTCTTCTCTGTTACAAAATATCCTGCCTGGAAGGGAGGAAAGAGAGAAGAGGCTTTATTACTTGAGTATTGTTTTCTGTTGCTAGTCTAAAACCTGAAGTTTGTTATTGCTTTGTTAGGTGAAGCTGGTCGATGGCACTGATGATCCAATTGCCAATGAAACCATCATGATTTCTGTGGATGGAGACAAATACAAAGGGAATTACACTACAGATGAGCAGGGACAGTCCTGGTTTTCCATAGACACTACCACCTTCACACAAGCCTCCTTGGAAATCCGAGTGAGTGGCAGAGACAGGGGTAAGCCTCTGTCTTTCTCATCAACAGGGGAAATACCTATCCATGGGCTATCAGTCTCTCTGCCAGTTGGAAAATAAGGCAAGTTTCTTGGCAGGTCACCTCTCTTCTCTGTGTCTTCTGTGCATATTCACTACCATCTTATAAGAATGGGAAATACAGAACACATCCACAGTTTTTCTGTGGACTTCTGTGTGACTTGTTACCTGGTTTAATTTAGCTATGAACTTTTTATTCCTCTTTCTCAGGCAGATCATAAACCTGAACTGAACTGTTACGACAGCAACTGGATCACACCATCATATGAGCATGCCATGCGTCGGATAAGTCGGTTTTACTCCCCCAGTAAGAGCTTCCTCAAAATTGAGCCAAAACCTGAGACATTAAGTTGTGGCTCCCTCGCAGAGGTCCAGGTGCACTATATCTTCACACAGGAGGCCACAGGGGAGCAGAAGAAAATTGTCATTTACTACCTGGTAAGAAGTATTTGTGGTTACTTTGAACTATGCCTGCAGTATGTACTGTGTCCTCTAAAGCTGTGTTCCATGATGAGGAACTACTGCACTGCTATATAACCATTAATGGTAGAGAGGGTTTGAAATGGAAAGTGTGACCTGCCGCAGTTCAATCTAAACACATTTCCATAATGTTTCTCATTTCTCTGTCTTCTGTGAGCAGACATGGCTAGGGTGTACATGTTTTACTAAGAACAGAAGAGAGACAAAATATTTATGAAGAGAACACTGTCTTGGGCACTGCCACCCAAGACTCTCATTTCATGATAATCCACTCCCAGTTTCCCCCATTCCAAATTTTAGTTTACCTATGATCGCTGGTCAGAAACCAGCACCCTACAACAAGAAGATAAAACATGAGAAGGGTAAGTATCTTCTACTCCATTTTGTCCATTGGTAGTCATTTGACTGATGAAACTAAAGCAACACTTCTAACTACACTACATCAGAAAAGCCCAATAAACTTAGAGCTTAGGCAGTCATGGCAAGTTTGGGATACCACAGTAATCAGAACAGACTGTAGCATGCTGGTATTGAGAACTATGAATTTGTTCAGTTTGGAAGTCAGAGAAGAGAGACTAATTGACCTGTAACCAAACAATGATATGTCAGTTTTGCTTGGGAGAACGGGAAGAATCAGGTGAATATTCAAATAGAATGTCTTTCTCCCTTTGCTTTTCTGGTTCTCCCATTTAATGGCACTAGAAGAATGATAAGAGTAGCTTTGGAGAACCAGAAGAAATCAGTGGAACAGACAATTTTGTTCTGATGGATTGTATAGAACATCAGGAGACTTAGGCTGATATTCAAAAAAGAGAATAGAAACCTGTGCTAGAGGTGTCTATTTTCAAGACTGCTAATAGTTAATTGAAGGACAAGATGCCTGTTTATCCTGGTAGCCTGGGAAAGATGGTCTTAAGTATGCACATACAGCAGGTAAACAAACAGTGAGAGACCTTCAATTTTTATAGGAGTGAATCCCACATTTTGAAATTCAAATATGGTGCTATGGAATATATGCTCCCCACGGAAAGTAGTTGGATAAAAGGCATTTTTCAGCTGTGAAAAAGGAATCTTTTTCTAGAAATGAAGAAATTACAGGTAGCATTCAGGCTGTTGCTTACTGCTTGAATTCAAGGACCTTATTCAAGCTCTAATTATTTGCAGCCTGTGCTCTTCTGTCCCAACTCTGTGGAGTTATGAAACTAATACTGATTAAATATTTCTTCAGACTGTTTCACAATGCTACTGAGAGTGGAATTAAGAGAATTTTTGACCCTCAGTCTATTGCAAATTGTTAGAAATGTGTGTAGGATCCCCAAACTTATGTGAGGTCAGAGGCAAAATGCATTCAAACCTGATCTATATATGTAATATGTGCAAAAGCAAGAGAGGTCTGATCAGTGAGCAAATACTGGTTCTCCTAGGAGTGGATATTCATCTCCCAAGACCCAGTGAATGCTAGTCTGGCACTTGCTTAATGCCTTCTTGGTACTGCTCATTGTTGAGATGCTATTTATACTCACAATCTACAGATGACCCAGTGAATGTTCCTTCTTGCTTTCAACAGCAGTAGCAACAATTACAGGAAGGTTTCTCTGTCACACAGGTGATGGCCAAAGGAGGAATAGTATTAGCAGACACCCATGATCTGACTGTGAATGCTGGAGACGGTGAGCAGTACTATGCATTTTTAGTATTTCTGATGATAATTTGGGCGCAGGGGGACATAGATAAATTATTTCAATAAGAACATTTACTTTAATATTCAATTAAAACATTAAATTTAGAGTTTTAATTTTTCTGATGAAGGGGCTTGGATTAGTTTTGTTGTCTCTGAGTTCAGGTGCTATTCTTTTAATGATAAATTATTAGAAAATTCAACAAAAAATAAACATAATGTTTTGGTCATTTCCTAAAACCAGCACTTTCTGATGACCACTCTAGCTATTCTGACTGCTGATGCTTACCAATGTTGTAGGACTCACATGTACAATGAACAGAAAGAAATGTGTCTCTTTTTCTTTCTCTCTTTCCTTCTTTTTTTTGGTATTGTTTCTGCCTTGTAAGCATGCAAACCCACACATACCTATATTCTAACCAATACATTTAATTTTATTCATATAAATGTCCAAGGATTACACATTTCAGTAACTGAGACTGGCTGTAACGCAACTTTAAATGTCTTTGGACAATAAGACTAGGAGACATTCTGTAAGTCTATGAGAAGGAGTTGCTTTGCAGTGGATATAAACAGTATGTGGAAGTAAAAGATCTTGAGTGCTGTATGTTTGTACAAATTCTGCATCCTCTCTAGTAGCAGTTACTAAACTAACACCCTGGCTAATATCAAGAGATGTTTTGTCGCCTTGTCCAGATTGTGACATAAAGTTCAGGCCCCGACAAAAAGAGTTTTGCAGCACAGAGGGTCATTTTCTGTTGTGTCTAGAGCAACAGTTTAGTGTTCCAGCTAAATGCTTGCCTAGCAGTAACTTTGCCAGTTATTCTTTCAGCCACTCTGCAGCCTTGACTGCTGCCTCCCTTTACAACAGTCTGTTACCTTTTTTTCCCCTCATCTGTTTTTGGTAGATCTTGGAGCTTGAGGGAGAAAGTGGTTGGGAACATCAAGAAATTATGCCAGATGTTAACTAGGGAGAATCTAGAAGCTCTCCAAACTCACTTCATTTGGCTATTCATGATCACTCTTTGAATGCAGGTATCTTCAGCAGCAGCCATAGACTTCAATCATATATCAGTATTCCTACCCCTGCTGCCTAAAAGTATTCAGCATGAGTGAGCTTGACTTTTTTATCTAGGAAAGGCAAATGCATATACTAGGACTTCTTGTGTGTTGATTAGCCTTTTTTCCTCTCTGTTAGCTTATGGGACATTTCAGCTGACCCTCTCTGTTGAGGCAGCAATTGCTCCCCTGGCACGGATGCTTGTTTATACCACTTCACCCAATGGGGAAGTCATCGCCAGCTCAGCAGATTTCCAGGTTGAAAGCTGTCTCCCCAATAAAGTGAGTATATGTCACAGTTTACACAACCCATGTTTGTCTTGTGACCAGTAGATCAGTTATGAGTTCCAGAACAGAGGCAGAATTCACAATGGGTTCATTAAGTGATCTGAGCAGATATTGACTGAGGATTGGTGACCAGAATAAGTTACAAAACTATAACTGTAAAAAGTGAACAAGATAGAATAAAAAAGCAAATCACTCATCATTCTTAATTACATTGGTCAAAGATGAATATGTATTACAAGAATTGCAAGACACTAGCAGAGCTTAGTTCACAAGGCTAGAAGCATCAGTATATTAGCATGTAACAGTGTCTGGAAAAGCAGCTGCTTGAACTTCTTTTTGGATTTGCAGGTGAGACTGAATTTTGTACCCAAGGAAGGTCTTCCTGCCTCCAACACACACCTGAAACTCCACACCACACCAAGGTCCCTGTGTGCCCTCCGTGCTGTGGACAAGAGCGTTCTCCTTATGAAGCCTGAAAATGAGCTCTCTCCTAGCTCTGTAAGTCTTGGCTACTTCTGGTAATAAGCAAGTACAAGAACTGACCAAATACCTATTAACACAACTACAGACATGGGGCTATGTAATTTTATAGGTGCATTCACTGCGCTTGTTTTTCAGAAGCTAGCGTTTACCAACCGAGTGTTAGATAGTATCTACTTCTGTAAGTGCTGACCTGCCACATTTTTCCCTGGTTTTTTTTTTTTTTTTTTTTGCATTTACCTAGGTGTATGATCTTCTTCCACTGAAGGAAATCCGAGGTTATAGCTTTCAAAGGCTACTACCTGGAAGAAGACAATGTAAACCCTTGTGTGTCACTTGACAATATGTTACTAAATGGATTTGTCTACATACCCATTTCTCCTGATGGCGAAGGTGATGCCTATGACATTCTCAAAGTAAGCACCAGCCTTGCATTTTTCTTTTTGGTTCCTTTTTGGAATTCAATCTACTTTCCTTTTCTCACCTGTCTTGAAGGACTTTCTAATAAAAACAAAACAAAAAAGCTCATTTGCTGTAAACTTGCTAACTTTTGTATGCAAGAAAATAACCAAGCCCAGGCCCTGCAGTCCATCACTGGTACCTGAGTGTTTCTCTGAACCATTAAAACTTTGAAAGGTCTCCTCATTGCTGATAGAGATACCTGCAAATGGGCTTGAGTAAGGAAACACTCCTGAGAAATTATTCCTAGTGCCATAATATTAGAAAATTTTCCTCATTTTTTCATGTTTTCTCTCTCTGGTTTAAATGGGTTTTTAATGAAGTGTCAGTTACTTTGATAACCCAAGAATCCACCTATACCCATCTAAAGTGTCCTGCACAAGACTTTTTGGGTCCCCTCAATCCCTTGTGTTTCACACATCATTTTCACATAGGCAGCTGTGCCCAGGGTAGACCTATGGCCTTAGTATTCCATCTGATCATGCCAGAATTTAGGCTTATCATAACATGATAGAGCCTCAACATCTGGGTTAAACCTGTCTATCTGGAATTTATATACAAGCCTTTGTTATTCCGATCACTACCAGACTTAAGTACATATATTCTTGACATACTAAATAAAGTTTATATTCAAACCAGGGTTTTTTCATATTTTTTGTTCTTCTTTCTCTTTGTTTATTAGGAATTGGGCTTAAAAGTCTTCACTAGCAGCAAGATCCATAAGCCTGAAGTCTGCCAGCATTACCCAGGACACATGATGGAAAGGAGTTACAGTGGTTCTAGTACCTTCTTGATTTCACCTCCCACACAACTTCCTAAAATTTACTACCCTGCTTCTTTCCTTCCCTTTATATCTTTGAATATTAATTACACCACTCAGATCTGATTCTGTTCAGATATGCTGACCTAATTCAGGCTCAACCCTTTCTGGACTCAGTCCTGAAATATGAAACCCTATGCCTGCGCCTTCCCAGCTAGACAGATGTGTCTGACTAGAACTATGTGTGCTTGGTGACTCCCATGCCAGCCCATACAGGAGGGATCTTGTAGGCACTAAAAGAGTCTTTCAGCACAAAGGAGTGGCTTTTTTTTTTTTTCCATCAGATTTGAGTTCAGCTATGGAAACCTAAAAAAGGAGCATCTACTTCTAGGCAGCCACATTCTAGCAATAGCTGGAGGAACAACTAGGACAGCAGTGGGCCAAGACAAGTGGTTGATATTTTGCCACTGGGGGCTGAGAAATTTGGTTCTGTTCCCAGTTCTCCCCCTCACATGACTAGAAGTGATGCCACATCACTTCTCTGCAGATTCAGTGACTACGAAGATGTAACAATGATATTAATTTTGTTTGTTTGTTTGTTTGTTTTCCCAAATAGTTCTCAGACTAGAAAGGCTATATAAGACTCTCATCTTTGTCACTTCCAGTTACTGACTTTTCCAGTGCAGTATCACAGCTTTGATTAGAAAGATTGGTCCAGTGATAGCTTCTAGCCTTTTATTTATAAGAGATCAGATCTTTGGTTTCAAGATGAAGGATTTGTCATCAGAGTATGGCCCAAGACAGCTGTCTGCTTTGAGAAGATGTAAAATCTTCTAAGGGTAATGGAAAAGCCTTTCAATAAGGCACAAAAGTATGCAGCACTGTGAGAAAGCATCCTCCAGTTTGGTTGCTCAACGCCAGAGATGTAAAGACCCATATTCATCTAAAAGAAATTCTAGATGGAGGGCTAAGTGTGGCTTGTGTTTCTGGTCATGCATAAACTCAATCAATTCTTCAACCATCTTATTAAACTATCTGGCACAGTAATATCTGGAGACAATAAGTTTCATGTTTGATTCTGTATTGCAACAGAAATATACCCTCAAAACATCATCATACGTGGTTCTTTTGGCAATGCTTTGTTTGCTGGTAGTGAGGGAAGAATACTCCACTCCATCTAATCTCTGTAAGAAGAGCAGCAACATTAGGAAAAATTAAATACTGAGGTGGTAACAGAGAAATGCATTTGTTTTCAGTGGCCAAGATTTCAAAACTGTGCTTTCAGTTTTAAAATTTTATCTAAGAATAGCCACTACCTGGAAGGAAAGTATCTTCTGGATTTAGAATGGAATTTGACACATCTTTTCCTTTCTTCCTGTCGTTGAAAAATTTCCTAGTCACTGCAATGAATCTGCTTGAAGATTTGGAGTATGACATGGCAGAAGGTATGGTTGGTGACAATACTGTAGAGACTGTCCGGAAGTACTTCCCTGAGACGTGGATCTGGGACATAGTTTCAGTGAAGTAAGTGTTTAAGGGAATGTAAAGTGTGATCAGTAGGCCAAAACCTTGGTTTTTACCAACCCATATGCTAAAGCCTCAATGGAAGTATTGGTATTTCAGTGAGAGTAGTATTTCTAGTAGACAGAAGGATTTTTTAAGGTCACTAAGTATAGGATCCTTTGGGGGAACATACAAAAGCCAGTGCCCATATCTCAGGTGGTCAGGAGTTTGCTGTCAGTAGACATTATGCAGTAGGCTAAGAAGAACATAGATGATCACCAGAATATAACTGAAATCTTGTTCTCTGTCCCTAACCAGCTCTGAGGGAAATGCTGACCTGGATGTGACCATCCCTGACACCATCACCGAGTGGAAAGCCAATGCATTCTGCACTTCAGCAGACACAGGCTTTGGCCTGTCCCCGACAGTGTCCCTCAGGGCCTTCCAGCCCTTCTTTGTGGAGCTCACCATGCCCTACTCTGTAGTGCGTGGGGAGTCCTTCATGCTGAAAGCCACCATTTTCAACTACCTGACTGCCTGCATCAGGGTAAGAGACTTGCACAACTTTGCTCAGTCTAACAGGTTAGAGAAGACTGCAGTCTGTCACTTATAGCATGGTTTCCCAAGCCAGGTGACTGATCTCTAACTATAATTTCACATAGGTGTACGTATGTAGGAATCCTTGTGGTATTCAGTGAAGAAGGAGTGTTTTCCTGCCAAAGTTTTGAAAGCTGCATTAGATTCAGGACCTAAAGCTCTGCTGCTGAGAACCCCACCCTTGTCATTACAAATTTATGTCACTGTCCTATAGAAATATGAGACTTCGGTTATTCACAGACCACAGCATCACTGCACATGGAAAATCCAGGTTCCCCTTATACCTGGTTCAGCCTTTATCTCATCTTGCAAAATACCACAGCAGATTTGATGGAGTATGCAGACTTCCTTTGATTTGTTGCATCTGTCCCTAAGACACAGAGCAGAGCTATATAGCTGCACTATTCTTGTCTGCATTTTTTCACCAGTGAAAAAGTTGAGAGAATTTGGAAAGTGATTGGTATGAAATCTCAGCCACTTTTGCTCAGTTTTTTATAAACACAGATTTTCATTCTAAAAGGAATGAAGCTGAAACAAGGAGGGGCACTGATCCAGTCATTCCAATGCACTCTCATTTATTTTCCTGTCTTTCCTGTTTTGTTTGCTATTTTCAGGTTCCTTATTCCACTTCTCCTTGTTCCCTTACTTGGTTTCCCACTGCTAGTGTTTTATCTTTTCACCTAACTAGTCATGAGTGAGGTTTTAATTCATGGCGCAAGTGGTCTGTGCTATTAATTTTCCTAGAATTGATTTTCTTTCCAAAGGTCCTGTTCTCTACACTTACCTTATGATTTTACACATCTCAGTCATTTCCCCCTTTATTAGGCAGTTCTTATTCTGCAATACCCGTGAGGTTCTTAGTCTCACAGTATAACTGGCTCCTCTCCCCATTTCCACGTACTGCATTGCCTCCAATAATTCCAGCTTCTCTGCAAGTCCAAACTTCATGTCACCTGTCTGTGCAACCAACAGGTCAGTGTGTCCCTGGCTGAATCTACTCATTTCCTGGCTATACCAGCAGAGAAACAGGAAGAATCCTACTGCATCTGCGTGAATGAGAGAATAACTGTGGCTTGGGCAGTAACACCAAGATCTCTAGGTAAGAAGTTGGACAACAAGAAGACACTGAGATCAGATATCTGTATAGAGCATCAAATCTTTGGTGTGAGGAGCTAGGTAATTCCAAACCTGTTTGGAAGGATCTTCTCTATGTCAGAAAGGAGAAATCCAACCCTGAGGTTGAGACACTACACTGCGTGTAATGTTTCCAGGTCCTAAACCAACCATATAAGTGTTGCAGGCCATTGCTTTCCTAATACATAAATAAAAATCACAAATTCCCTTCACAAATGCATGCAAAGCACTCAGATATTCCAGTTGTGGAGCTAAGAATGTCTTGGTTTGATGTGTCTGGGTCTGAAATTTTTTAATCAAAGCTTGCTTTGATGGTCCCAGAACAAGACCATTTGATTTACAAGACCCGCCCCATCATTACTCTTCTGGCTGATGGACCATCTGCTTGTATGGCCATCTAGAAGGAGGTGGCCTGGCAGGCTGCAGCTGGATCAAGATAAAACACTGTCTCAAATTTAGTTCTCCTCTTGGAAAAGCTCTGTAATGCATCAGGGAGTGCCCAGCACAAACACAAACCCCCATTTCCCTGGCTCTGCCAGGCAGGGCTGACTGAACTGTTTCCTCCAGGGCAGGTGGAGTTCTCGGTGAGCACTGAGGCCCTACAGAACCAGCAACCCTGTGGGAATGCAGCTGTGGAGACCCCTGAGAAAGGGCGGAAGGACACAGTCATCAGACACCTTCTGGTAGAGGTATGTGGGCTGCTACTTTTGGTGGCACAGAAAAGTACCCATAGCAACAGCAACAGCTGCTGTGTGATAAAGGTTTTCTGTTTTAGCCATGAGAGCAGCAATAATGGCTTGTAGGACTCTAATTCTGCAAGCTGGCATAAAAGAAGCATTGACAAATCTAGCCCAGGCCAGTAGAGCCCATAACTCATAATGTTGACATCTCATAGTAAAAGCAAGGTTTTACGTTACGCAGTGGGACAGAAATAATAAGGCAGGCAATAATGACAGGTTTTCTGGGACATCATATCAGAGATAAATAAGAACTCCTCGGTTTTACCTGTAATAAATCACAGGCATAGGCTGTAAATGGAACACTGGCCAGAAACCTCATGCTTCTCCTTCAGCACACAGCTAGTACTCTGAAACATGGAACAGTCACCACAATCTGCAAATATTTCTGAACAAAACTAACATTGCTGTTTCAAACTGGTTTTATTACACTTTTAAGAATGTTCAAAACAGTGTAACTAACCTTTTATTTTTTCATTCTTTTGTATGCTTTTTTTATTAAGCAGTGTTTTGCACTGATAAAAGCATAGCTTTTCACATGATTAATTGCCAGTCATAAAATTAATCCACAGTAGAAGACTCCCTGTGATGCTATTAGCAAACAAAGAGTACTAACTTGTTGTATAATGAAATCTTTATAATAATAACACCTCCTTACATTGCAGACATTCCCGTTTGCAGTAAGGCAGAGCTAGGACTCATGTAACTTCAGAAAATGTTTTGATAACCTGAATGTAATGATGGAACAACAATCCTATCTGCTACTCACTTTTTTTTTTTAATATTTACATATGGATTTGTATGTATAATACATGAATAACTGTTTAACATTTCAGGAAAATTTCCTGATTTCATATATACCTTCAGGAAAAAAGACTGTTTATTTTTTTCTTTGAAGTTACTCGAAGATCAGCACTGTAAAGTCTTCTTTCCCAGATGGCAGGGGAATGAAAATTATGGAATGAGCATTAAAGATGCTTCTGTCAGGGTGTCTGAGAGATTGCTCATCTTATCCTGTTTTTGTAATGTGGTAATTAATCTACAGCAAGTCCTGACTGGATGGAGTCAGAGATTAGCATCCAAGGCTGAACAATTAATTAGCAGGGGTGGATACAGTGAAACACGCTTGGGGTGAAGCTGTATTGTCACGAACATATGGATGACAATATTCCCTACAGTAGGCAGTGCATCCCACAGAGAGAGAAGGGAGCGTGCCAAAGGCCCTGGGGCATACTCTTGCCCCTCCAGAAACCGAGCCTTGCTGAGAGCACTTTGGGAAACAGGATGTTTTTTCACCCAGGAATTTCTCATCTGTAGAGGAAAATCTTTCAAATAATTACAGTGTATGTTTTAATTTCCTGTTGAAATGTTCAAAATCAAACACAACAATGGATTTCTCATTTAGTTGCATATCACAAGGACATACTGAAACAAACATGAAGGTGCCTTTGCAAACAGAATCATTTAGTTCTGTTATAGTTTGTCTGAAAAGCTTTTTCTTTTTCTTTTTTCTCCTACTCTATTAATACTTTTCTGTCTTTTCCTACTGAAGAATGAGAGACAATGAATTTTAACTGTGCGAGAAGGAAAAGACAATAACACCATTGTTTGCATGTTGGAAAAAATTTTCAATGGGCAAAAGTTGGAAAACAGTAATGAAGCAATAGGAACTCTCCTATTTGGAGGTTAAAAAATGATTCAGAGATCTCCCTAAAATAAATTCTGACAAAAAATAATTTATAGTAAACATTTAATTCCTGAGTTTTTTCCAAATTTTTTTCACCTATCTCAACAGAAAAGAGGAATTCTTTTCTGACTTCAAAAAATAGGCTAGGAGTTTTTGAAACAGTGGGATAGAATCACCAGTTGACTATGGCATATATTTAAATTTTTGTTGTTGCAACATGTCACGTGTGGGTGCATTGGAGTGCTTTACCACCTGTAAAAGTTCTTGCATATGTATCCTACCAGTGTCTGCAGCACTCGGCCATCACTGCAGCTATGCTGGGCCACAGTGCGTAGCACTTTAAAAGACAGGGTCCTGTGGCTCTGTTAGCACTGTTGGTAACAGCACCGTGTATGATATCTGCATCATAACTTGTGAATCTGTAGGGCTTCTCTCAATAATAAGAAAGGAAAGAACATGTACTACATTTCATACTTGTGATTAGCTGGTGTGTTATAGTCCTCAATTATCCCTGGTTTAGCATACGGAGGAGAAAAATTTGTAAGTCATTTCCAGAAAGTCCCTTTTAGTTTCCCTTTTGATATGTCTTCCTTTTCTTTGTTGTTGTTGTTGATGTTGTCTCTCATTTTTTGCTTTTTCCTCTTGCTCTTTTCCCCAAGCCGGAAGGGACAGAAGTGGAAACTACGTACAACTCTGTGCTCTGTGCAGCTGGTAAGAGCCGTTTGCTTTCTAAGACTTTCTTTGCTGTGGTAGAGACTAAAGACAAAGAGAGAAGAAAAGGTTTTGAATGCTCCACTCTGAGAAGAGAGGTGTAGGAAAGTGATAAAATTAAACAAACTGGATGTATGTCCAACTGTTAGTGAAATCAATTCTTCCTAGAGGAGGAGAGCTGAGGATGTAATAGTGTCAACAATTATAGAGACAGAAGCTTATCTCTTAGGAACTGAGGCTGACCAGGTCCCTGTGAGAGGATATTGGGGATTTAATAAGGTTATCTCTAATGCCTTTCATTCAACAGGTGTAAAATCACAAACCAGACTTTGCAGTAAGCTGGGTTAGCCCACTAAAGCAGAAAAGGCCAGAAAAATAGGTTGGAAAGTGTATTTGTCCATCAAGGCCAGCTGATAGTGCCATGCAGATGTCCATGACAATCTGTGTGTGAGGATATTGAAGGCCCAACACAAAATTTTCAGGATGGGAAGCTTCATCCACAAAACTACAGATGAATGGATTTCTTGAAGGCAGGAAAACCTTGTTCAGGGGACAGCTGCTACCCATGCATATAGATATATCTGGAATTGTAACCAAATTAATCTGGTTTTTTATCCCAGAGAAGTCAATGCCAGAGACAGTCTCTTTGGTTCTCCCAGAGACTGTGGTGGATGGCTCAGCCAGAGCGTATTTCTCAGTGCTAGGTGAGTGAAGTATCCTTTAAGTGTCACATGCTATTTTAAAACACTGTCACTTCAGGCTGTGCCCAGTCTAATGGCTAATTTACACTATAAATTGTCCCATTCCTCAGGTGACATCATGGGCACTGCTATGCAGAACCTGCACCAACTCCTCCAGATGCCATTTGGCTGTGGAGAGCAGAACATGGTCCTGTTTGCACCCAACATCTATGTCCTGGACTATCTGAACAAGACAGAGCAGCTGAGTGAAGAAGTCAAATCCAAGGCCATTGGATACTTAGTGAGCGGTGAGATGGGACATGGCTTTTGCTTTTCTGTTCATCCCTTCCCTTGGCAACTGGATAAGGACACTATTGTCCACTGGCAGGTATGATCTGTTGGAAGCTGTCTCTAGAAGGGAACATGATACTGGTAGGTGAGATGTATATAATACAGTATCTATAGGAAAGAATCCTGTGTTCAAGTGAAGGTACAGGGTGAGAGAGAACAGCATCCAAACAGGAACACAGGAAAAGTCCAGAACTGGCAATAACTCAAGATTTCTTTCTGAAAGAAAAGAGTTATATGAAATACATAAATCAGACTATACCCATTAATCATGGCTGCTGCTTACGTAGATCTCAAACCCTCCTTAGGACTGAGATTTAGAAAGTATTGCTCACCTTTGACCAGGGCAGAATTTGAACATGTTATCAAGGGCATGTTGACAGACATAGCACTGGTACATATGCACATGATGGGTATATACAACTAGAAAGGGGCTGTTTTGACTCAGTTATTTTTTCAGGAACATTGCACTTCCTCCAATGAAAATTAACCGGTTTTCTGCATCCTTATCCTATGTAAGGCTCACATTTTTTATCAGTTCTCCTCTGGGAACCATTCTCTCCTTTCTCTCAAGTCTGGGATACATTTACCTCTCCTCATCAAGTCTAATGCAGAGATCAGCAATGACCACAGTTACTCAGTTTGAAGGTGTTTTAGGAGAGTGGAAGAGCACAAAAATGGAGATACTCAGAGCTGTGGGTTTGCCTGAACTTCCACTGTAATACCGAGCAACATGGCTCACACTTATGCCATTAGTTAAGGGGGACACTGTGCCCCATGTCTGCTACATTTCCTTTGCGTGGCTCCTTGAAAAGTACGGTGGGAACTCAAATATTTTTTCACTCTCCATTTCAGGGTATCAAAGGCAATTGAAGTACAAACACTGGGATGGTTCTTACAGTACTTTTGGGCCACGTTATGGGCAAGTTGGAAATACCTGGTAAGACTTCAGTACCACTGACTTTTCATTACTGCTTTTCATGCCCTCCCTTTTCTCAGTGTTCTCTAGTGCTTGGGCATTGTGGAGGTTGAAGGGCATTGTGGAGGTTGAAATGGAGTTGGAGTTGTTTTCATGGCGTCATAGAACAACAATGTGAGATAATAGGGCAAGGAAGGATGTTAAGGGAGGTGCCTTTTAGGTTTGCAGTGCTGCACTGATAGCTACTTACCTCCTCTGACACCCTTCTTCAGCTCAGGTGAGGGTGGCCTGCAAGATGATATAGCTAGTTCTTGTTAGCAGAAGATGATGATGAATCCCCACAGTGCCATAGCCCAACTACCTGCAGTCCTCAGGGCTATGAATAGCAGACTCCATTTAGCGTTGGTCTCTACCTCATAGTTTCCAACCAGCCCACTGTGATCAAGTCTTGTAACCTCTACTGGGTAATGCCCATATGGGTCCTATGACCTCTGATGGATACAGGACCTGCTCAGGATGTCTTGGTTCCCTCTATCCCTTTCAGGCTCACAGCCTTTGTCCTCAAGTCTTTTGCCCAGGCCCGGCCTCACATCTTCATAGATGAGAAGCACATCCAGGATGCTTTGATCTGGCTTACTCAAAAGCAGAAAGATAATGGCTGTTTCCGCAGTTCTGGGACACTCCTGAACAATGCCATGAAGGTAATGTGTCTGCCTGGTTGGCTTCATATAGGTTTTGTCAGGCTACAACTTGACCATAAGTCACTCTGGGACCAATGGAGCTATTTTATCACTTGGGGGTTGGGGAGGAGTGGGGAGCTATCACAGAAGCATGAAGAAGGCAGCATCATCTTCTGAAGGGCTTACCATGAGCAGGAGACTAGGAAGGATTTGTCTCTGCAGGATGTAGATATGTTGCATAGAGAGAAGCCAGTGGTGCTGTGTAGGATCAACAACTACTTTTGTGTTTCCCTGCAGGGTGGAGTGAATGACGAGGTCACACTGACAGCCTATATCACTATTGCATTGCTGGAGATTCCTCTGCCTGTAACTGTATGTGTCCGCACCCCAACCTGAGCCACAGATGGTACTAACCTGTCCTACTAGTGTCTCTCCCTGCCAGATTATTAGGTCCCTTTACCTTTTGAAAGAAGAAATCCTGTCTGAATAGTCTTTCTGTTTAAGCCTAGACTAAACTAACACCTTTCCTCCACTTTCCTTCCCTGTCCAATCCTTTCTCCCACACAAACATTTCACTTAACATTCTTCTGAGTTCTTTCGTGGACAATAATTGATTGGTTCCATACAGCTTGGATTAAAAATTAGTTAAATAATATTTAATTCTCTTAAGTGAGCCAAAACGTTTTCTACCCCTTCAAAAATCTCCTTTTATTTCTTGTACTGGTACATTCCTGTTGAACTGCTTTTGTTGTGCAGGCAAAACAGCACAAGCATGTAAAAAGGAGTGGCACACTTAGGGTTCATTCTTATTTTCTCTGCCTCTTCTAGATTGTTTTGTGGGAAATCCCCATCCTTAATGCTTGAAGAATAAGGTATACCTGTAGGAAATAAAGTATACCTATAGAGAATACCATAATGTCACTCTGTGAAAAGCCTGAGGCCTATTTAAGAACAATGAGGGTTTGGTCTTTCTGATCCCCTCACTTTGAGACGAGGCTGTGGTGCAGGTAAAACTGTGGTATGAATTGCAGCAGAAAGACTGCTGAGCCAGGGTGGTTGCCAGGCTGCCGTAATTCCTCTACTCCAAATGTAGTGGGGACTGCTTTGTTTTCTGAGTTTTTTCCTGTGTAGCAAGAACCAACAGAAGGAATTATTTTGTCAGTGAGGTGAAATGGATGGCAATAACTTCACCAGAAAAGTATTCTTTCTTTGTTATGTGTTATGTTTAGAAGAAAAGCTCTCAGGCAGAACTGTATTGGATAAAAAAGATGTTTTTCATCTCCCTGTCTGAGCCTAAAACCACCACTGAATGTGAAGGAAGGGGTTTGTCAGAATTTGAGTGAGATATGGGTGCATTTCAAGTTAAGCTGCATGAAATTCTAAGTTCAACACAGCCCTTAAGTCATTAAGGCCATTGGCAACTACACAGAATATTTCTATAAGTAAAGTAAGCTATATTAAACCCTCATAAAAATCTGATTAGCAGTGTTTTGAGCATGTGCGTCTATTGTCACATCCTATAATTAGACTGAACTCCTCCCCAACACTTACCTTACAAATAGTAGTAAGCATATAAAACTTTAGGTGAGGCATAGACAACCAATTTTGGTTTTATTCTTTGCTTTTTCAAACACAGCTGAATTGCATCTCCAAAAATGATCATGAAAGATTTCATCTTCCAGTAGACACCCAGTGAAGGCAAAGTACAAAGCCACTGAAAAATACATCTTTTACTTCTAGATCACTGATTAAGCTGTAAATGTGCTGTTGGGATTCAGATCATGACATAGCTCTCTCTACAATATTATTGTTTCAATTTTATAACAGTTTTTCCATAACAAATGAGAAATAGTCATGCATCTGGCTGCAAGGTCGTGGGCTCACAGCATCTGTTAGTCCGTTACTTAACACTGTGTGAAGAAGTTACATTTTTTTATGATTGCACTCGCAAACTGTACTTGAGATTCTGTCTTGGGAAAGACACACATTGTTAATGTTAACGTGTCACAAAAAATATTCCAGAAAATACAAAAAAAATTTCTTTCTTATGCAGAGATCGTTTCCTGCCAAACTAGAATCTGCATTATCAGCTTCCAGCAAAATTAAATTTTTTCAGAAGGTCCTAGAAAAGGAGAACTAAACAATAAAAAGAAAAGGACAGAGCAGAGGGTAAAAGCACAGAAGAGTCTCAGGGCGATAACTGAAGGAGGAAAGCAAGTATTCAGGACATCTACAGAAAGGAAGTAATTGGGAAAAAACATTAATGTGACATATTAGAGAAATGTTGATACAAGATAAGGAACAGCCTTTGGCTGCCCATTTGTTCTTGGAATTACTGGGCCTGGAAGGGAAGGGATACACAATAGTACAATATTAGTCAGAGAGGAAAGTGGGGTTGCCAAGGGTCCATAGGTACCATCCAATTACTGATGTTCTAAGATGGGCCTCGCTGTGATCTCTGGCTGCTCCAGCTTAGTGTCTCTCTCTTCCCAGCACTCAGTGGTGAGGAATGCTCTGTTCTGCCTGGAAACAGCAGCAGATCAGAAAGAAAACCACGTATACACCAAGGCACTGCTGGCATATGCATTTGCCCTGGCAGGGAAAATAGACAAGCGGAAGACATTGCTTGACTCACTTGAAAAGGAAGCCGTGAAAGAGGGTGAGTAGTCCTGGTGGGACACCTCTTTCATTGGCCTTACATCTTCCCTTGATAAAATGGCTTTTGTTGATGGGGCAATTGTTAATGTACGGAACTGACTTCTGTGAGTAGGGAAAGATGGAGGGAGAGGAAAGATTTGTGCAAAGGGATTACCCTTCTGAGGACTCCCTCTCAGTCCCAAATCCTGAATCTCTGCTTTGAGGGAGTTTGCTGGGAAGCACCAGGCACCATCCCCTCGGTAATGAGCTACAGAGTATCTCTGCTGGCACCTCTGTCTAGTCCACTCCTCTTGCCACACCAGGCACCACTTAGCAAAGGCTGAATAATGTTAATGGGCACTCCTTCCTTCCACGGCAGGGGCTCAACATAGAACAAAGTTGACTTTGCACAGCATAAGACATGCAAATCACAGAAGTGCTGGATGTACTGAGATAGAAAATGAACCTGAAGGTCACTGTGGAGGCCATAGCATTAGCTCAGACTCTTCTAGGAATTCATGTAACAATTCAGAAGCATTCTAGTTAAATCGGACCAGATAGTGGATTTGCTCAAATGTTGGGTAGCAGGGTTGTGAGGGTTGTGAGGGAAGTATCCCCCACACTTTTTGCCTTCTCCAACTGCAAGTGACTCTCAAGCCCTGGTCACATTCTTTGAGCCATTTTGTCTCACAGATTCTGTCACTGCCTGATCCCAGGATCTCTACTCAAAAAGGGAGAGAGCAACATCCTTCTTAGTTCCCTGAGGTACCCAAGCCCATAAGTGTCTATGTGAATCTGGAGTCTAGAACAAAGTGGTATCTAGGCCTGAGACTCAGCAGTCTCATACAAGTTATTAACTGCAAAATGTGTAAACCTAACCCTTCCCCCTTCATCCTGCATGACAAATGCATCCTGGAGGCTGCATCCTCCCACCTGGAGTTGCAGCAGATCAAGAACTCCACAGCAATAAATAGTAATAATTGCTTGTTGTCTTGTCTCTACACTCCCCACCTCCTGTGAAGATGGGTCTGTTCATTGGCAGCGGCCTGGGAAAGAGCCAGAGGTTGATCTCCCATACTATCACCACCGAGCTCCCTCTGCTGAAGTGGAGATGACAGCCTATGTGCTCCTTGCTTACCTCAGCTCTCAGCCAGCACCTTCCCAGGAGGAGCTGTCATTTGCATCTCGTATTGCAAAGTGGATCAGTGGTCAGCAGAATCCCAATGGAGGCTTCTCCTCCACCCAGGTGAGCTACTTCCCATTCCCTCCTGAGACCTCACACATCAATGTCGGAGGATGGGACATGTGAAAGAGCCAGGTGGGAGCCCATTAAGGTTTACCAGAGGGCAGGAACATTAGACCTGCAGTATATCCATGCAGTATTCCATGCAATACCCACCATGGCTGCCAAGTGCTCAAGAAGCTAAAGGCAAGAATGTCAGGTAGTGCCTCTGGGAAGGGAACAAGAACATGCAAAAGCTGCTCTTTGCCTCTGTCTTTTCTGTGTAACACTGGGGAAAGTGAAGGATGGAGGGGAGGGTGCCAACAGAAAGGCACACTTGAGGGAGGGCAGGCTATGGAAGGGCTGAGTGCACCCCTCTGGGTGCCGGCATCTGTCTCTTTCAGGACACAGTGGTGGCTCTCCAAGCCTTGTCCCTGTACGGAGCTCTCACTTATGCCAAGAGCAGGGCAGCTTCCAAAGTGAGGCTGCAATCTGGAGGGAACTTCCAGCAAGACTTCCAAGTGGATCCCACCAACCGGCTGCTGCTCCAGCGTGTGTCCCTTCCCCGGGTGCCAGGGGAGTACAGCGTGGAGGTGTCTGGTGAAGGATGTGTCTACCTGCAGGTGAGGGAGATAGGGACAGGAGGCATCCTGGGAGGGGAGCCCCTTGCCAGGCAGGAGGCATGGAGAGGGCAGAATCATAAAATCATTGAGGTTGGAAAAGACCCTAAAGATCATCAAGTCCATCTCCCTCTGGAGAAGAAGGGACAGGAGAGAGGGGAGAAGTGGGATGAAAGACTCTGGGTGAAGGGAAGAGGAGAGGAGCAGAGTTATGTGGAAGGGAACGAGTGGGAGGGAAGGAGGGAAAGACCTGCAGTGTGGAGGAGCTGTGAGGATGGGAGAAGTGGGGAGGTTGGGTGGGGGAGAGCATCCCCCCTCTCCAACGTTGGGCATCACGCACCCCTGCTCACACGTGGCTGCTGCCTGTCCCCTAGACAAGCCTGAGGTACAACGTGCAGCCCACGCAGGAGGATGCACCTTTCATGCTTCATGTGTACACCATCCCAGAGACATGTGTGGACTCCAAGGCTCACAAGGTCTTTGACATTGGCATAAATGTCAGGTGAGTCTGTGTTTTGGTCAGACCCTCCTGTCAAGCTGTGGGAGCTGCAGGCGGTCTGGTTGTCCCCATGGCGAGCCAGTCTGGAATCCCTGGAGGTGCAGGGAATTCCTGGGATGGTGGGCGAGCAGCAGCTGGGCTTGATCCTGCAGTGGTGAAGTTGTGAGGGCAGCCTAGAGCTGGGCTAGTGAGAAGCTGCCTAGATGACTAGGAGAACCTGGCCTAGCTGGAGAAGAAGGTGCTGGACTGCCAGGACTTGGTGTGGTGCCAAGTGCTCTGGATAAGCTGGAAGTGTCCCCAGCTTGGCCTTGATGTGCACTGAATCTTTGTTGCTCCATTCCTTAGTTACACTGGGGAGCGCAACAGCTCCAACATGGTGATTGTTGATGTGAAGATGCTGTCGGGATTCATCCCCTTGAAGTCCTCAGTGAGGAAGGTAGGATGACATGTGAAGCATTCTTTGGACTATACCTGTCCTTAATCTGGGGCATCAATTTCCTTAATTAAAAGAGGTTTTAATGCTTTTCCTGGTATATTCATCCCTGTTGGACCTATCCAACTTTTCCTCTAGGTCTTCCTACCCACAGCTGTGAAGTAGGGGTGAATGAGGGATCCCATGTTCATCATTGCCTTCCCACTCCTCGAGCATTTGTGGTAGCTTACAGTTATTCAAATATATGTGGAATTTCGTCCTGAGAATGAGAGCTGGAAGCAGACCATTAGTTTCAGGAACTCAGGAGCCTTTGGAAATAGATGACAGCCATGACAGTGCTGGTCCCTCATTCCATTTTTGTGTCAAGAAGATACAAGAGCTTGAGATGATGGGGACTGGGGGGAGACTTAGTGTGTGGCCTTCATACAATAGTGCTTCACAAGTTCCTTGGGAAGTACTCTCCCTGTGCTTTACTTCTAAGTACCCACCTGGTGAGAGGTGTGAGGAAACTTAGGTGGATTGTCTAACTTCCATCAGATTAGCAACCTTTCCTGTCTCCTCTTTCCAGCTCTCAAACACCTGGTTTCACCAGATCCAGCGGACGGAGGTGAACCCAAATCATGTTTTGCTCTACATAGAACAGGTGAGGAATAATTCAGGGCTGCCATGGTGCACAGAGTGAGCTCTGCAGCACACTGGCAATAACATGAACAGTGATGGAGAGAATCGGTAACCATCTCCAGGCTTGTAAACACGCATAAACCTCTTCATCACCAACCTTGTATGTCTCATAGGAGACAACTCTGTCCCAGCCCTCAGCAAGCTTTCCCTCCACAGATCAGGCCTTGTGATGTCTCCACCAGCAGAGCTTCCCCCAGTGTGGGAAAACGTTTCCCCTTACCCTTCAGCCAGGTCCACAGCCCCTCTGTCCTGTCAGGGCCAAGGCACAGGTGGCAGGGCTACAAGTGATGGCGCCTGGGGCGGTGTGGAGGCAAAGAGGAGCCTGGGACAATGTGGAGCCACTCCTGACCTTCCACTGCTTCCCTTCCCCAGCTGAGCAGTGAGACCCTCAGCTTCTCCTTCACCGTGGAGCGGGACATCCCTGTGCAGGGCCTGAAGCCAGCCCAGGTGAAGGTCTATGACTACTACGAGACAGGTGAGTGGGGGCTGGTAGTGCCCGTGGGAGCAAGGGTGGGCAGTGGGACACGTGGAGTGGCACGGGAGCTCTGCAGACCCACAGCTGCCACTGGCCTGGGCCATCACCTTGATCTCTCTGAGTGAAGAGGGGCCCAGGGTAGAGCCGCGGGTGCTGAAGGTCCAGAGTTCAGGTCTGGCCCCAGAGCACAACCGTGCCTGTGTTTCCAGGCAGACCTGCTACTCCTTGTGTCTCTGCTGTCCTGGCTGCTGTGCCAGGTTGGCAGCAACAGAGTTGTTTGTCCCCACCCCAGTGTGCTGGGAGAAGGTGCCTGAGCAGCCCTTGGGCGCACTGGGGTGGAGACCTGCTGGAACTGCTTGTGAGGGGTGGCTCTGCCTTGCTGCCACTGCCCCCACACAGGGCTGTGACTGGGGCTTCCCCCACTCCAGCTGGGATCAGTGGAGGGAAGCTGGGGATGGTGTCAGCAGCCTGCTGTGGAGCCTGGGAAAAGCATGTCTGGCACCTGTCCCTCTGCCAGCAGTGCCGAGGGTCACGACAGTTCACTCTGTCCTTTCCCTTCTGTTTTCCAGATGAGTTTGCCACACAGGAGTACAGCGCTCCCTGCACCACAGGTAGGGTACCGAGACCCCTTTGCTTCACAGTTCTTTACATCTTCTTCATTGTATTTTCTAGTCTTCCAGGCAGTGCTTTTCTCGTCATGCTTGAATTTGGATTACATTTGCCCAATTTACAGGCACAGATATTGCTTAGATATTGAGAGCATGCAAGTTACACTGTTGTTTCTGAAGAGATGGCAAGTTTACCTTTGGTAGCTACCACCTGGAGCAACAGCTGCTTCCTGCTCAGCTCCCTGCTGCCCTAGCAGGAGGGGTGTCTCTCAGGAGGCAGGTGTGTCTCATGACCCTAGGCAGCCAGCCCACAGTCTTGGCTTGGAGACTGAGCTGGCAGGACAGAGATACTGTGGTCTTTGGGGGGTTCTCTGCAGTGCAAGGCCACCTGTGTTTGGCTTAGGAGCTCAGGTAATGGTGGGAGATTCTGTAAAAGGCCCTGACCAAGGATATTTCTCCTATCTTATATGGAGTCTTCCAATATGAAGAATGGCAGGTCTTGCTTCCCCTCAGTTGCCCACTTTCACGTGTTTGGAATATGGAGGCTTCTGGGAAGCAGAGTTCCTGGGCAGTGGTTTTTCAGAGGGCCTGACTGTGGCATCTGAGGGAAGAGAAAAAATGGTCTGGACTTGGGGAAAGCAAAAGCTTTGTCACTTGCTGGTGGTAAATGGTGAAATTTATCTCCTTTCATGTTCTTATCTGGCATCTTTGAAAAAAGCCTGAACTCCCACACTTTTACTCCATACTGCTTGCTAACCTGGGCTGTGTCCATAGGTATAGATGTGTTCTGTTGATTTTGGACCTATAGCCTCACTTCATGGAAAAAATGTCCATAAGTCCTAAGATAGACATTGAGTGGATAGTAAAGCATTTCCAAAGAATGTATTGGTGTCATGTGGTTATTCAGTCTGAGACTGGTGGGGAGGCTTTAGATTTTAGGCTACTCTTCCCCATTTCTGTTAAAAAGTAGAGTTTTTATCTTCCTTGAAAAGAGTGATGGGAAATTGCTATTTAAGAAGTTCATCCACTGGTCTAGGTGTACAAGGTAGTCTGCACTGACTTAAAAGGCAAATCTTTCTTCCCTGCCCTGAATAGTAAGGCAGTAAAGTGCCATAGGTTCCTTCCACTCTTGGCAGAGAAAGAAATAGAGCGTGTCTCACTTCCACAGAACATCCTTGCCTGTTTGCACTGTGCTCCTGTGTACATCTCAGTTGTGACAAATCCTACTCTGTTTATCTCTCTCGGTGGGTCAGAATGAATTTCAGCCCTCTCTCAACCTCATATAGCCCTGAAGGTGACATGAGTATTGAGTGCCGTGGATGACCATCTACCCTGGCGAAAACAGCAACTCACTTCTCCTGTTCTATGCTTCTCACACAACCTGGCTTCGAAATCCACATCTTACTCTCTCTATCTTTTGTCCTGAGAGGGGAACTGACATATCTCTCTAACTTCTCTCCCCTCCCATCTGCTTTCATCCTTGCAGAAGAAGTAGACCAGGGCAATGCATGAAGAATACTCCCAGATGCTGGAACCCACCTGCCTCACTACCACCCCTATCTATGGAGTGACATGAATAATGCCTGCAAGGAATGGGAAATTAACTTTACAAATAAATTAACTGTACTCACCAATGATTTTTGAACAGTTTATTACCAATTCTGATTTTTTTGTGCTCAGCTTTCAGTCACAGCTTTAATCTCCCTGGCTTCTTAAGTTGAAGAGTATACTATCCAGGAATGCCTGTGTGCAGTGTAGTAAGGCTGACAAGTGAGGAAGAAAAAAAAGAGGACCGAATTATTTAAGTTGGGGTCAGCCTTTCTAATGTATCTCTGTCTGTGCTATGTTCTTTGAACTTGTCACCTGTGATCCTGTATAATCAATGTAGAAGGACAGGTACTTCTTGGGAACAATTTCTCTCCCCTGGCTTAGAAACCATAACCTTGATAGAATTGATCTCTGCTGATGGCTATCCATGTCTCCCACAAGTAGGCAGCCTGAATGACCAGCTAATGTTAAAAGAAATTCAACCTCTGTGATCTTCCCTGTAGGCAGCCCTTCTGGGATTGTTTCTTGTTTGTAGAAGAGTGGAAAGAGGCATAATCTGCCCTCTTCTAAGATTACAGAGTGTATGGTGGCAGAAGGAACGTGTGCATGCATTATGCCTTCAGCTGCTAACTTAGCCTGTTCTCCAGTTGGAGCTTGTGCCTTCTTGTGGAAACTTCCATGCCTTGTGTCTGCTGCTTCTGGGAGATTCCCAAGGAGAAGCTAATGGCATTTGCCTTTAACCTACCTGCCTAAGCCTAGTCTAAATGGCACATTTATTTAAATCATAGAGTTGCTTTGATGAAACTCTCTATAGGCCTCTTAGATTTCTCCAGGAATGCTCCCCTTTCCTTGGTTTTGTCTCATTAATTTGTGTGTTTAACCTTTTGAATGCAGAAAGATCTCACGTGACTGTTTATTCTCATTAAATGCTTATTGCTAGGTATCATGGCATACTGTGTATCCAAAGTATGTTCCATCCAATTTTTTTTAGTGAGCCTGTACAAACAATGTAATTGAGAATAAATAAAATTCTTCATCTATTTTGCTACATATTAATATTATGTCACTTTGTCTTCTGTGGTGTTTGGGATTTACAAACTCAAGACCTTTACACACCTCATATTCAGAGAAGTCTATGGAATGAACCACCTTCAGTGCAAGCTGAACAATATTTCCAGTCCAGCTAATTGCATTTTGTTTTAATTTAGAAATAGTAAAGCCATCTATTTTTTTACCGGGAGGCAATTACTTTTCCAAGTTCTGAAAACAACATAGGCTTTGGCTGCTGAATTAAACTGTTTGAATTTTAGACCACTGTGATTTGTGTTTGAAGCATGCCATGCATGCTCCATGGGGATAGAAATTCAATATTCCAACATTCCTGTACTTCCTTTAGCCTTGCTGAAGTTTCCTAATGGTATACTACGGAGGACATTCAAGAATGTGACTGATGATTAACAGTCTGGTTGAGCAGAGAAACGTCAAACTGCTTCACAGATATGGAATGGCCAGAGAGCTCCAAATGCCAAGTTATGTGGCTGCCCATGGGCAACAGGTGTTGACTAATTTAAGACTAGGCAGCAGCAAAACATGTTAGTGAAACATACTCCAGTAACTTTACAGACTTTTAAATTAAATTGTCATGATGATCACTTTGTTTCATTTGAGGCAGTAAAGATCCAATGCCATAACCACGCAGAGTTCATTTACTTACCAGAAAGTAAACTAAAATGAAGGAGCTGTTGCCATCCATCTACTGTCTGCAGTAGAGGAGGGTCTGTATTTGCAAACCTGTGTGTGAACGCACAAGTTTGCTGACCTGTCACTTCTGAACCTTCTTGCCCCTAACTAATGGTCTCAGCTATATCACTTCAGCACAGTCGGTTTCTTGTGACCCATAGCAAAAGGACAGATATAAAAGGGGCCAGAGCAAATTACATTCCTCACACAGTGAGGAATTCTGGCTCAAGAAGGGGAAAGAGAGTCCTGAGACACCCATGTGGATGATTATAATGCTAATAACATCAGTGTCACTGAAACAAATACAGGTCCTTTGCTGCATCAGTGACTTAAATTTTTGACAGTCTGGGTTTATGTACATGAAAGAAGCTACAAGAGGGACTCCTACAGGTGTGTTTGCTTCAGCTTACGTTGGGAGGGTGAAAGGCACCTCTGCACAGAGAAACATGTAAATAAAATATACACAGGGCTATATGACCTCTTAAACTGAGACTGATTGCTCTTGCATCCCTGTGAGAGACCTAGACCAAAGAAAATGCGATCTTTCAAAAAACTGGCATGCATAATGTTTAACCCAGACTATGAGATGGGAATCCATGGCCTCTACTCTGAATTCTGCTGAAGCACTCTAAGCCTAGTTACGAGGGGGGAAAAAAGTATTAAAATTACTCAAAAAAACCTAGAAGAGAGCAACAGGCTTCCAGTGAGGGGTAGAAGATAAAAGTTCTCATGAAAAATGCAAGTGTTTGGCTCCTAGTGTGGTTCTTGGTTGAAATGCTAAGATTATCTTGAGTGGCATCACTTGTCATATACAGGAGAACCAGGCAACCAGACAGGAAAGGCAGGTCCTCCTTGACCAACCTGTTCTCCTTCTATGACAGGGTGATCCACTTAGTGGATGGGGAAAAGGCGATGGATGTTACCTGGATTTTAGTAAAGCCTTCAACACAATTTCCCACAGCATTCATCTGGAGAAACTGCCTGCCCATGGCTTGGACAGGTACACTTTTCACTGGGTAAAACCTGGCTGGATGGTCAAGCCCAGGGAGTGGTGGTGAATGGTGTTACATCCAGCTGACCTCTGTGTTCAGTGGTGTCCCCCAGGGCTCAGTGTTGGGGCCAGTCCTGTTTAATGCCTTTATTGATGACCTGGATGAGGGGATCAAGTGCACTCTCAAAAGTTTGCAGAAGACACCAGGTTGGGTGGGAGAGTTGACCTGCTGGAGGATAGGAAGGCTCTGCAGCAGGATTTGGACAGCCTGGATCAGTGAGCCTAGGCCAATGATATGAGGCCCTACAGTTGGGTCCTACAGTTGGCCCACAACAACCCCATGCAACCCTACATGATTTAGCAGTGGACTTTGCAGTGCTGAGTTAACTGTAGGACTTGATGACCTTAAAGTTCTTGACCAACCTAAATAATTCTGTGAATGACACTGTTAAGATCCCAGTCCCTCTCTGTTTTCACTTTAGCTGTTTAGAAGCAAGCAGACAATGTCTTCAGTGCTGGAGCAGGAAAGTCCACAGGTCTCCCCTTCACTTTTATCTTGTCTGTTGTGAAAGATCACACTGTCCTTCCAACTCATAGCAGTGATTTCACAGTGAGATCAAAGGTGATATGTGATTAGAGGTTTATGTCCAAGAATCATCTTGCAGAAAACATCCTCTTTTAGAGGCAGAGAGACAAACTTCCAGTGCAGAATGGGTCAGGCAGGATTTCCTTTCTTCCTAGAGAACTGGCAAGTATGGACACAAATCTCTCAACTCCTAAAAGCTGTCTGCCTTCTGATATTCCCAAACACCACCTTGCCGTGGATGGCTCTGGACTGAAATCTCAGGCCATTACACAGTCAGCGATATGTATGGGAGGAGAGACAAGACACAGTAACAGAAAACAAAGCCAGACACATCTGATGATAATCAAGACTTAATTTATTTATAGTGTTACTTCCTTTTTGTTTTTGAAGTGTCCTCCTCTAGCATTTCAATACCCCACCCTCAACAAGAAGATCTTCTAGGGGCAGAGACGCATAAGCTGATACAGCAAGGTTCAGACAAGATGCATTCTTCAGGAATTTCCCTGTTCAGCCTTCACTGGAGGATGGAAAAGGACAAAGTGAGATAAGTATTCTGGTGAGCAGCATCCATAGCCCTGGACATCTCTGTGTTCTGGTGGCTATGTGAGTTCAAGCCCTATTCAACTTTGGGAAACTGCTTCACCTAAAAATGCCCAGTTGCAGACAGATAACAGAATGGGAGTGGACAATTCAAAATATCTATGCTACAGAGAGGAGAGGGAAGTCAGATTTATCCTGGAGATACATGAGCTATCCTAGTACACATTCTCTCTCAACCACTGGGTTTCCCAAGGGAAGGTAAAAAATAACACTGGGCAGAGTTTGAAAGGTCCTCAGCAAAGACGTGGATAACATGAAAGTTTCACCAAGATATTTGGGACACAATTCCTCAGTACCTTTCAGTGTCTGCAGCACAGCAGATGTGGCCCCGAAAAAGGCAGAGACACAAAATGCTGGGTGTTGTGTTCCATGCCAAGGGAGACTTCAATCTTATTTGCATAATGTGACATAAACACAGAGGAAAAGATGATTGCCACTGTGTGAATGAAGGCAGTAACACTGAGATTGCTATTCTCAGTGAAAGAAAATAAATGCTGTATCTGATCTTACACAAGAAATTGGGTGGCAGCAGTGCTTTTGGTTTCTGTACTGAGGCATGCCAAGACACTGAAGTAGGCACAGTGAAGATAAATGCAGTATACACCGGCTGAGTATACACAGGCTGGGGAAATGCAGGTCTACAAAGACTAATTCAAGAGAACCTGCAATAGCCCATGATGGAGCTTCTCAGTTGTTCATGGGCACCTACCTGTGGTGCAGGGAGCACTGTATTCCTGTGTGGCAAACTCATCTGGAAAACAGAAGAGAAAGGACAGAGTGAACTGTCGTGACCCTCGGCACTGCTGGCAGAGGGACAGGTGCCAGACATGCTTTTCCCAGGCTCCACAGCAGGCTGCTGACACCATCCCCAGCTTCCCTCCACTGATCCCAGCTGGAGTGGGGGAAGCCCCAGTCACAGCCCCGTGTGGGGGCAGTGGCAGCAAGGCAGAGCCACCCCTCACAAGCAGTTCCAGCAGGTCTCCACCCCAGTGCGCCCAAGGGCTGCTCAGGCACCTTCTCCCAGCACACTGGGGTGGGGACAAACAACTCTGTTGCTGCCAACCTGGCACAGCAGCCAGGACAGCAGAGACACAAGGAGTAGCAGGTCTGCCTGGAAACACAGGCACGGTTGTGCTCTGGGGCCAGACCTGAACTCTGGACCTTCAGCACCCACGGCTCTACCCTGGGCCCCTCTGCACTCAGAGAGATCAAGGTGATGGCCCAGGCCAGTGGCAGCTGTGGGTCTGCAGAGCTCCTGTGCCACTCCACGTGTCCCACTGCCCACCCTTGCTCCCACGGGCACTACCAGCCCCCACTCACCTGTCTCGTAGTAGTCATAGACCTTCACCTGGGCTGGCTTCAGGCCCTGCACAGGGATGTCCCGCTCCACTGTGAAGGAGAAGCTGAGGGTCTCACTGCTCAGCTGGAGAAGGGAAGTGGTGGAGGGTTAGGGGTGGCTCCACATTGTCCCAGGCTCCCCGATGCCCATGCTCCCTCTCTCTCCTCTGGCACCCATGCCCTGGCCCTGGGGAAACATGGGGCTTGTAGCCCTGGCTGAGGGCACGGGGAAACCCTGGGGGAAGCTCTGCCTGGTGGCGAGGTCTGGGTCTGATCTGTGCACAGGTTGGAGGGAAAACCTGCTAAGGGCTGGGAAGAAAGTGGCTGTAAGTCTAAAATGTTAGAAATCAGTACAGGATTTGGTCCCATTCTTATCAGAGCCATGGTAGGTAGTTCTGAGTCCCAGATATTTTGGCCTATGTGGCCAAGAGTCCCAATGCCTCTATTTCTGACTCATCCTTGCCCCAGATGGATACTCACCTTTTGCAGGTATACTAGAACATGGTTGGTACTAAACTCTGTACGCTCAATAACAGGGTGGCCTTCCAGCTGAAGGAAGAAGACCAAGATGTTACTGCATTGATAGTCATCCCCCTGTGCCACTTGCACAGCATTGTGAATGCGATGCATTCTGGATAAAACACTGTAGTGCTCACAGAACTAGGTCAACCAGTACAGAACTGCCTCCTTGTTGTGCCACATAGGGATCATAGTCCCCAGGCCTTCCATTCACCAGTCTGGCTGATGAAGTACAACCTGGCTTCAGAAGAGACTAGCACTGGTTCAAGCACAGTGATGGAA